GTTCTCACGGGATGTAAGGCAGAGGACAAATCTCTTCAAAGGGACTTAAATTTCTCAGATGTCTCCTACGCCTGAGTGGCATAGGAGGCTAATGCCTCCTACTAAGGCAGCATTTAACATCCAGCTGCCTGCAATTACTGCGAGTTCAATTCTCACCAGGCTCAAGGTCGACTCAGCCTTCCATCCTTTCTAAGGTGGGTAAAATGAGGACCCGGTTTGTGGGGGCAATAAACTGACTTTGTATAAAATATACAAAAGTATGAAGGCTATTGCTTAACACATTGTAAGCCGCCCTGAGTCTCCGGAGAAGGGCGGCATATAAAAATAAAATTTTTTTTTAAAAAGGAGATGTATTTGACTTACAATTTGAAGCCTGGAATTCGGCAGGCCCAGGTCTAGACTGTGTAATCTCAGAACCATAACATGGCTTGATGCTTGCCATAGAAAAGCTGTCAAAAATAAACACAAAAAGAACATTGCAGGCCAGTAAGGAAAGTCCTAAAAATGAACTTGTCATATTTTGGTGGTGCTATAATAGCTGCTGTGTTTTGTTTTGTTTTTTTTAGAATCTTTATGTAACCTGCTTCTGTTATTAACTCTGGATTCTGTTCAGTTTGAAACTAATTATTGCACTGCTTTATTTGGGTTTGTATTCTGAAAGGCAACCTAAAAGGATTCTTAAATGCATGCTTGTTCAAATAACTCTGAACTTTAGAAATGGAATTTATAGGATATTTTATAGTCGGCTATTCTTAGAAATTACCAGGCAGGATATGGAGATTCTCTGATTCAGGAACTCAGTGCCATAGTATGCGGGCACGCCAAGACTCCTCTGAGATGGACATTCTGAAGAACAATTATTTTTCAAGAAAAATTGGAAGGTAAGACATGCCCATGGGATATCACAATCACAAACACACTCCTATGAAGCTTCACAAAAACTACATATTTCCATGAAGGATTTGAATGCATGTGCATTCTTAAAGGCAGAATACTTACAAGATAATAGAATACAATGCTGAATTCAAGCTCTTTTAAAATGAGTTCTACATTGTAATTTAGGCATTCCACAAACTAGTTCCTGTTAGATATATCAGGCTCCGTCACCCTTGACATACCATGTTTCCCTGAAAATAAGACCCTGTCTTATATATTTTGAACCCTGAAATAAGCACTTGGCCTTATTGCCATGCGCTCAAAAGCCTGATTGGACTTATTATCAGGGGATGTCTTATTTTGGGGGAAACAGGATAGTAGCTAAATCTATGATAGTTGGATATTTGTTTGTTTATTCATTTCCCATCTTTTTTATTTTTACAAATAACTCAAAGTGGTGAACATACTTTCCTTCTCCTATTTCTCCCCCCCAACTGTGAAGTCAGTTCAGCTGAGAAAGAGTAACTAACCCAAAGTCATCCAGCTGGCTTTTATGGCTAAGGTGGGACTTGAACTCATTTCCAGCCTGGTGCCTTAATCATTACACTAAACTGATGGCAACTGTAGTCTTTCCATGTCAAGCTCTGTTGGAGAAGGTTGATAGCTTTGCTATGAAAGTGACTTTATTTCACTGGGATTATTTGGAAGTGTCTCAATTGGATCATTCTTCAGGTAGTCCTCCACTTACGATCACAATTGAGCCCAACATTTCTCTTGCTAAGGGAAACATTTGTTAAGTGAGTTTTGCCCCATTTTACGGCCTTTTTGCCACTGTTGTTAGGTGACTCACTGCACTTGTTAAATTAGCAACACAATTGTTAAGTGAATCTGGCTTCCCCATTGACTTTGCTTGTCAGAAGGTTGCAAAAGGTTGATCACATAACCCCAAGACACTGCAACCGTCATAAATATAAGTCAATTGCCAAACATCTGGATTTTGATCACATGACCATGGGGAAACTGTAATGGTTGTAAGGGTGAAAAAATAGTTGTAAGTCACTTTTTTCAGTGATGTTGTAACTTTGGAAGGTTACTAAATGTAACTATTGTAAATTGAGGATTACCTGTAGCTATAATAGATAAAACAATATTGAAGTCAATCTAAATTTGATTTAGTAAAGTAGCATTAAATAAAACATTCAGGAAATAAATTTGGACATTTATTTATTTATCAATAGTTGTTCTATAACATTGATACAGGTAATCCTCGATTTACAACCACAATTGAGCCCCAAATTTCTGTTGTTAAGCGAGACATTTGAGTTTTGCCCCATTTTACAACCTTTCTTGTCACAATTGTTAAGTAAATCACTGCAATTGATAAATTAGTAACCTGGTTGTTAAGTGAATCTGGCTTCCCCATTGACTTTGCTTGTCAGAAGGTTGCAAAAGGTTATCACATGACCCCTAGACACTACAAACGTCATAAATATGAGTCAGTTGCCAAGCATCCGACTTTTGATCATGTGACTGCAATGATCATAAGTGTGAAAAAAGGTCATAAATCATTTTTTTCAGTGCCGTTGTAACTTTGAACAGTCACTGTTGTAAGTCAAGGACTACCTGTAGTTACAGAGCATCCCAAAGCAACGTACAAATTCTAAAAACCTTTTAAAATAAACGAGGTAAAAGCAATGTATTAAAAGATAATGTCAGCCATGTTCTGAAACATTTGAAAAACTGATTTATTCCCTCTGGCGCTGGGATAAGATATTAGGTGAATTCTGCTGTAGGGTTGTACACTGTCTATTTGCTTGAGAACCTTGGCTCCATTGTTTAAATGTTATTATTGTGGTTTTTAATTGTGATAGTTATTTTGGATGGTACTTGTTTAAGTGTTAACTTTTCTGAAACAAGAGTAAGATTGGAGAAAGTCAACACAGATTACAAAATCTGGGTTACAAAAGGCGTGTAACCCTGTAATGTTATATGGGAAACACCTTGGGAAATTGGGTGAAGAGACAGTGCCAAGGGAGCAGTCAGATAAGTTACAGCATAGCCCACAATTGCACAATGAGATGAGCAAGAATCTCAGAAGAGACCTTCCCTAGTTTCACAGACTGTAAAGAAGATGGAGGGGGAGGTAATTGTACTTTGAGACTTGCAAAATTCTGTCAATGTAGCTTTAAAATAAGGTAGAATTAGTTCATCTGATGATGATTCCTATCTGGTTTATTCAGAGGTGGGATTCACTTACCTTCCGTACCGGTTCGCAAATGTGAGCGCGTGTGCGCTCGCTTGCTTTGCTCACATGCACCATTGTCCACACATGCTCAGCCTTTCGCGCATGCTCTTTGCTCACGCGCATGCCTTCCGCGCATGCACACAGCCTCCAAAACATAGCTAAATAGCACGGCATTATGTCAGAGTGGGTGGGCAGGGCCTACCACAGTTGCTGCTACCGGTTCGCCTGAACTGGATGGAACCGGCTGAATCCCACCACTGGGTTTATCCCTCAAGACTGACAAAACCACATCAACGTGGGCACAGGGCTTACTAGCCTGCAGGAAGGCTATTCCAGGTGTCTTCATGTGGAAAGTCGCCCTTTGTCATTGCCAAGAAGCAGCCCATGGCATGAAGAACAGGATCTCCTCAGAAAAGTAAAAGTGCCCATGAAACAGATATAATCCAAGATGTTATTCCACATACGTTGATCCTGAATTAGTTAAGGCTTTACTTATGCCAACACTTTAAATGTGATTTACTAGTAAGAGACCTATTAACACTGGTATAATATGTGGGCATTTTAGCCCTCCTCCCCAAGGAGTAGCATAAATAACAGAATTCAGTACTGAGTTGTAGCTTCCAGACCAGACTCAAGATCATCATCAGCTCATAGTGTGAAATAGCTTTAAATAAGTTTGCAAATGTTTTGTATGAATGTAAAGTTAGCATTATACAGTAGAGACCTTTTGAAAAATTCATTCAGAAATCAGCATGGATTGCTTTGTCCTACACCACCCTCTTTTGGCCAAGATCTGTTTTGCAATTTTAAGCTGTTTGCAATTAGAAGGAAGTTTATCTACATGAGTGTTGTAAAAGAGGCCGTTTGAAAGTCTCGTGTGACTTTTCCCTTCACAAACAATTTTCAAAGTCTACATGAAAACATCTCTCAATGCGTGCATGTTGGGAAAGATTTTGTGAGGATATGCTCTGGCAAATGCAGCTGCTTTTTCTGTCCTAGTCTCCATGTTTCAGACATCCTCTTTCTCCAAACTCCAGGAAACAATTGGGACAGGTTGTTTTGGGGAAATTAAAATAAAAGTTCCCTTTTTGCAACTCTGTAATGCCTTAATTTGGGGTAGAGTCAAGGTGTCAGGGCAAGTGGATGGAGCTGAGCGTTTACTGGCCGGATGCCCTTCCTGATGCTATGCAAAGTTCACAGCAGATAATTTTTCCTTACGCCCTAGGAGAGAAACATCTGCCACTATCCAGGATTGAACATGCAACCTTCTGAGGGGGAGGTGACAGTCTTCACCACTAGGCCACCATGCTGCTTAAATTGGACAATGAGTTTTGGGGAAATTAAAATGATAACAGTTAAAAGATGAACAATGGTAGATGCAAGCATTTCGTATTGACTTATCGGTACCAACATTACAATAACGTGGTTAAAATCAGCCTAAAATATGAGATCTAGTAAGAGCATTAATTAAGCCTATAACGTGTATGGGGAAGCAACCAATGACTAGATCTTATATTTTAGGCTGATTTTAACTGCGTTGTTGTAATGTTCGTACTGATGAGTCAATACGAAATGCTTGCATCTACTGCTGTTCATCTTTTAATTGTATTGTTTAAAGTATTAAAAGAGACCAATTGTTTGAAATTAAAATGACTCTAAATTTCTGTTATCTAAGACTGAAGTGTGGGTTTTCTTGCCTCTATGGGGGTAAGTCTGCTTGTACAAATACAGGCAGTGTTTTTCAACTTGGCAACTTTAATTCAATATTTGGGAGTTGAAGTGCATGCAGCTTAAAGTTGCCGAAGTTGAAAAACATGGAGGAGGAGGAGGAGGAGGAGGAGGAGGAGGAGGAGGAGGAGGAGAAGGAGATTAGCAGCAACTTAAAAATTTAGCCAAGCCCTCCAGCAGTTGTCTTTATTGAGCACACGCCTTCTGTCCATGATGAATATTCATAGCAAGGAGTCTGGTCTCCAATGGAGACAGTAAACACAGGCTAATCCAGGCTCCCTGTCTCTTTTGTTTCAGCTCTGCAGGAAAAGCTCAGCAATTCAGGGGGAAAAAATCCTTTTAGTAAAGGGTAAAATCCCTTTACCTGTCATTGTCTGTTGTTATGTGATCAGAAAGCTTTATGATGCAGTGTGGATCTTGGAAACAACAAAGAAATATTATTTTTATTTCCGGAATATCTATATACAGATAGCCGGTCACTGTTTCATAGTCCCTGAGTGTTTTTTTTTTTTTAACTCACTGAAATTTCTTTCAAGTTCCTGTGCAATGTGGAACTGTCCAAAAATAGACTGCTGGGCCCTCTCACAAGTGTGATCCAGAACCTCTTAGGAAACTTCAGAATAAATCATGCATTTCCCTTGCTCATTAACCATTTATGTCAAAAAGTTTGGCCGAGAAATTGCTGAATTGGTGAGCATACCGCATTCTGGCTAATGCTCTCCCACACTTTTTTTTTTCTGGGATGATCCAATTGTAAGTATTACAAACAGAGTTTATACGATGGGAAGCAAAACAAATGGACTCCGAAGCGCCACATCAACGGGGTATCCGTTACCGGCAAACAGCTCTACTGGAGATTTAGCCTCATATTCTTCGCTTTCGTTGAACAGCAGGTCTGGAAGAAGCCCACTTGTTACCTCCCAGAACTTCGGGAAGGCTTCAAGCAAAATCTGTGGGGAAAAGCAAGAAGCTCTCAAGAGGGACCAGGTCCAGCAAGACAAGATCTGGAGAGAGGCTGTGGAGGCTGAGAGGAAGGCAACCAAATATTGGTGAGTAACTTGGGAGTGTGTCTGTCTTAAAAGCTTTGATACAGTGGTGAAATCCTGCCGGTTCTGTCTGGCTTGTGCGGTTTGGCAAACCGGTAGCCTGGACGTCGTTACTTCCTGGTTTTTACCCTCTGCACATACACAAAGCCCTCTGCACATGCACGGAGCGTCAAAAATAGGACGTGATGATGGTGCACTTCTGAACCGATAGGGAAGGTATGTAGATTTCACCCATGCTTTGATATGACTGTTCACGTTTGATTGCTCATATGTGCCGATCTGCATAATACTAGCCTTTGCCTGTGACTTTTACAGAATAAAAGCAATGTAAACTTAGAAAAAAAGAAGAGTTAAAAAAAGTGATAGTTAAAAAGAAAGAGAAGAGATAGAAAATGAGGGGGGGAGGAGAAGAAAAGGCAGTAGTTATACAATGAAACAAAAAATGTTAAAAAGTTATATTTACCGTCTTTTTCGAAGTATAAGACGCACCTTTTTACCTCCAAAAAGAAGGTGAAATTCTGGGTGCATTTTATAATCCAAATGTAGCGCCACCCAGCCTCTGAAATGGAGGTTGAAAAAAAAGCCTCTGAAACCTCCCTTTGAAAGGCTGAAAAATGGAGGTTTGAGAGGCTGAAAAAAAAGCAAGGCGCAGAGCTCACAACCAACGAACCTGTTGCTAAAGTTTACTTCTGGGAACAGCTGATTGGGGGTATTCTGGGAGGCCGATCCACCCCCAATCAGCTTTTTTCTTATTTTCCTCCCCAAAAACTAAGGTGCGTCTTATACTCTGGTGGGTCTTATAGTCCGAAAAATACGGTATTTGGTACTTACCAAGCACATCTAAATTATATTGAAGTAACCAAAGTATTTTTACAAACCCCAAGGTATGTCACCGCTTTTGAGCACCCCTAATGTTTCGAAATTGAAAGTGGGAAACATTTGACATGCCCTAGACAGGTAGTCCTCAATTTACAACCACAATTGAGCCCAACATTTCCATTGTTAAGCAAGGCAGTTGTTAAGTGAGTTATGTTATTCCCCATTCTATGACCTTTTGCCACATTTGTTAAGTGAATGGCTACAGATTTTATGTGAATCATGTGGTCATTAAGGGAATCTGGCTTCCCCCACTGACTTTGCTTGTCAGAAGCCAGCTGAGAAAGTTATAGCTGGGGATCATATGATCCCGGAACTGTGCAACTGTCATAAATACATGCCTTTTGCTAAGTGCTAATTTGCTAAATTTTGATCACATAACTGTGGAGATGGTGCAATGATTATAAATGTGAAAACTGGTTATCTCATTTTTTTCAGTGCCATTGTAACTTCGAAGGACACTAAATGAATGGTTGTAAATCAAGAACTATCTGTAAATACTTTCATACCTTATCCTCTCTACTTAAAATTACATCATAATTCCTCTGCTCCCTTCCATCTTGAAGCATATTGATATGCTTGTCAATAGTTTCCTACTGGCTGATGACATTTTGGGACAGAAACAACGAGAAAGAAATTGAACAATCCCTAGATAAGCATGGACATCTATGCATACACACACACATATATCCGCACACATATGCATTTATACATATACAAATTTATGCCCATTTTCAAACCAATATAAAATAAAAATGAATAATTCATCACATGCATGAAAAAAAGCTACATCAAATGAAAATATAAAAAGAATAAAACAAATCTGTACTTACAAATACATTCCAAGTTCACCGGAATATGCACGCACATGCACAAATATACATATGTACTTATATATTCATTAAATGTGGGTGTTGTGGTTATAATGATTAATTAAAATTTGTGATTACCAGAACTAGAATAAATGAATAGCAACATAAACTCTAATAAATAAGATATGATTCACCTCATTCAAATCGCGCACTAGTTAAGAATTGGAGATTGTCTGTCTGTCTATCTATCTATCTATCTATCTATCTATCTATCTATCTATCAAATTTTCATTTGTTTGGTACAATTATACTCAACAATCATAAAAGATATTATCCTTTTACATTGAAGGTATCAGAACTGGAGTTTCCTAAAGGACTATGATCCCCTGGTAAGTTAAAATCCAAATATGCATGTTAAAAGTATACTGACATGTTTGAAACAATATTCCCCCCCCCCCATATTTTCACATCATATATTCATCCTGAATTAACATAGTCATAGTTCAAAATGGTCAAGGATGAACAGGTGATGATGCTTTACACTTGGTGGGTTCATATATCACATTAGACAGTGGCTTACTTTTATCATGGAGCAGATAAAATCAAGCAGTAACAGAGTTGGAAGGGACCTTGGAGGTCATCTAATCCAACCCCCTGTTCACGCAGGAGACCTGTACTAGGGATTTGAACCGTCGAACTGCCGACCTTTCTGATCGACAAGCTCAGTGTCTTAGCCACTGAGCCACCTAGTCAGAATAGCTTGATTCACAAAAACAGCTTATGCTCTTATCCAGTGAAGGCTCAGCACAAAATGTGGAGGGTTATCTATCTTGCCATTCTCTGAATTGGGAAATATGTAAAGAAAATCTCCCCGAATACTGGTCATGGATAGCTCACATTCTCCTTCAAACGTAGCCTTCAGTGAACAAAAAAGATTTCCATTGTTTCCATTTTGCATAGCTCTATCATTATGATTCATTGCCTTCTAAAAGTAGGCAAAAATGAGGAGGGATGCTCCTTTTTCATGTAAGCCTGCCTAGGATTTGGGCAGGGGCATTTTCAGAGAGTTTTTTTTTTAAAAAAGAGTTCAAGATGATAACCATTACCAGGACAATGAAGCTCCACCCCTTTTTAAGGTTGCCATGACATACTTTTTAATGAGTTTTGATCACCATCTTTTTTTTAAAAAAAAATCACCTCTGGGATTAGAAAAAAGAAACCCAGAGTGGAACGCCTTTGTTCTTTCCTGAATAAAAATAAACAAGATAACTTATTAGCTCTGGAGATGAGAGGGAAAAGCACACACGCATGCACGCAGGCACATACACACACACAAACACAGAGTTAATATCTCAGTCAATTTACACCAGGCAAAGTGGAAACAAAACCCGAGGACTTAAAAAACTTAAGAAAGTTGGAGAGGCAAGGAAAATATTTCCCTGGAGACTGAGGGAATGAAATAATTAACCTTGACTTCAAAGAGAGAAAAAAGGGTATTAAAGTAATGTTCCTGACGTTTGAATGATGCTGCAAAACAGCATTTTTCTAAAGAAAATCAGGCAATTTATAGCTTAGAAAGAAATTGGTAGGGGTGGAGAGAACAGGGTGATCTCAGCAAGATGTTGGTGATAACTGGAAGGTATTTTGGAATTGGGTTGTTGTGCTGACACAGTAAACTTACACTGAGAGAGGCTCTTGAAATCTGAAACAGTTTTACAAAGTTAGAATGGTTCAGCTTTGAAATCAAGAATATGTCCTCTAGTCACTGCCAATGATTTCTTGTCATCCTTTTTGGTTTCTACACATTAAGCCTAGTTTTATAGGAATATTTTACATCTCAGCTCAATATCTCATTTGGTTTTTTGTTGGGTTGAGCGGTTGTCTGTGTTTCTATCCATGGACAGGACAAAACTTCCTTTTCTTTCCTCTTCTTTCTGAAATTGTCACAAGATCTGGAAGCTGCCCACTATTATTCAAGCTAGAAGAAAAACGGGGTTTCCTTTGTTTCTCTGTCTCTCATCTCTAAAAACTAGCATCTATACAGCAGGGGTGGGTTCTAACTGGCTTTACTACCGGTTCTCTTTGTGCGCGCGCTTTGCGCACGATTGCCTCTTCGGTCATGTGCTTTGCGCGTGATCGCCATGTGCATGCTCACTTTGCTCGCCTGCGCGCCAAACTTGCGCTTTGCGTAAGCACGTTGCAAATCTGCCCAGCTGAGGTGCGGCAATCCGCTCTGCCGCACCTCTCAGCTGGGCGAAAAAAGAAGAAATATAAGGTCGGCATAACGCCAGGGCGGGTGGGAGGGCCCAGCTCCCAAAGACAGAGAACTGGTTCGGTGATGTCATATCGTCACCGCTACCAGCTCTCAAGAACCGGTGCGAACCAGGAGCAACCCACCACTGCTATACAGCCTAAGAAGTGAATTCAATGTGTCTCAGCCAGTCATTCTAATGCTGTGCTTTTAAGACAGGAATGGTTAAAAAATAACCACGCATTAATAATATTTCAAAAGTATTTTAGAATTATGAAAAATTGAATGCTTTGGATAACGCTATACAGATGACTAAATAACAAGTATAGCATTAGAGTTGAGTGAACTGTGTTTTAAAATATTGCTAAATGTCCTTTAAAAGGCACGTCCATTACTGTATTATTTTTATTGCAGTGATTATTTTGTATTGCAAAGGTTTTTAATTAACTGGATTAGCAGTTTGCTTACAGCCGCAGAATTTTTCATACAAGATAAAATTGACTTTGGGTCATTATCATAAAATACAGGCAGACACAACAGCCATTAAAACAAGGTAATTTCCAGAATGATTGTAACAAATGTATGAAAGCCAGAACTATCCGTGTGTTTTTATTATGATAGCTAAATCCTAGAGTTATCAGAATTTTGATCTGCTCTAGTAAAATACTTCTAACATTATTGTGTTTATTCTTGAAATCTTTCCTAATTCCCAATGGAATTGATTATGTGCAATATGGCATTAGAAGCATTTCTAATTAAACTTTTATTCACATGAATAACTGAATTATATTTTTTAGGGCAAGAAAAAAGTGTCTGCCCAACTCCCTGAATATATATCAATATTTTCGGACAAAATTCCCAATACCACCAACCACGTTATTGGCAGCAGAATGAACACTGATCTTGGTAAAACACTGATAAAAATGGACTATTTCCTCAATTATGGAAGAAGAAAAACAAAAACTGAGCAAGAACTCCAGCCTTCCTAGAACTAAAGAGAAAACTTGCTGTTAAAAAAGTGCTCATCTGTACTTTTTGAAATAGGATTAATGTCAAAAACTTAGTGCATTTACCCTTTCAGACTTAATTCTTCTGCAGACCGATTGGCGATGATATTTAGCAAATTAAAGTTGATAGCAAAGTTTTGCAAATATGATCCTTGAGCACAATCATATGTAAACACTAATCTCTACAGTTTCAATGTTTAGAAAACAGTGGTGCTACATCCCAATCTTGAAAGCATAAACTGCATGAGGTTGTGTGGAGGTCCATTTTCTGTTTTTTTTTTCATTCTGTAGGAAAACTGTATTTCTTCCACCAAAATTAAGCCTGAAATTTTATTGCAGATGATGGGGTGACCTGTTATACATTGCAAAGACTTGGCTGGACATCAAATGTGTCTATTGGGGTTTTGCGTATGGTAGAAGGGAGGAGTCATCCAGGACACTCTGGAGATTGTCAGAGGCACTGCCCTGCAGATAGCCAGATGTGAGACCTTACTTGTGAGGTTGAGTGTTAGGGGTCAATTTGGATTGCTGCAGCTAAGCCAGCTGTCCAGTGGTGGGATACTGCCGGTTTAACAACCAGTTCGGTGATTGTGTGCTATGCGCGTGCATGTGCTTTATGCGCATATGCGCCTAATACACGCTGTGCATACATGCACAGTTTTACAAATACTAACCTTCTGTGTTACCGCTTGGGAGTAACACAGCTGATGCGCGACAATCCGCTGTGCCGTGCCAATCAGCTGAGAAGATAGAGGTAAGTAAAGTGCAGGGGCAGGTGGGCGAGCTGACCTGGTTCATCCCAGCTGATTGTTCTAGCTACTGGTTCGCCCGAACTGGTCCGAACGGTAGAATCCCACCCCTGCAGCTGTCCTAGTTCAGAGCAGCTTCTCTGACTGGGCTGCTTAACGCTGTGACTGTGCCAGTTGTACAGCTGTTCCTGTTCCTGAATTGGGAAGCCCTACATGCAGTCATTCTTGCCTTAGCCAGATCGTGGTTGGATTATTGCTATGCATGGTCTTGAAGACACTTCAGGAACTGTAACTGATTTGGGATGCAGTGCTGTGTGAATTGATGAGCATATCTCAATACACCCACCCAACACCCACACCCACACCCATAGGCAACACCACTATTTTATAAATTGCATTTGTCCCCAGGAGTCTTCCAGGTGCAATCCAAGGTGTTGATTATCATCTATAAAGCCTTACATGGCTCAGGACTGGATTATCTGCAACACTTTCTCCAATTATTTCTACCTGCCATACTCTATTAGGATAGGTACTCTTTAGGTGCCTTCCTTGAAACAATACAAGGGGTACTAGGAGGCATGCCTTTGCTGCTGCAGGACCTGACTTCTGGAATGACCTTCCCTCAATATATGGGTTGGTCCTGTCCTTGATAGCTTTTAGAGAAGCACTAAAATGGCTTCTTCTTTAGGTATTAGAGCTGGGATGTTAGAAGCAAATGTGGTTCCCTAATTGTCCATTATTGTTGCAGTTTAATTATACTATATATATATAGTAAAGTAGCTTTCAGTCAGAATAATTCAGGAATCCTTGAGCTAACTAGAAAGATCTTTTCCCCATCATATTCAAGTTTCAATACTTTCCTGCAATGAAGAACATTTACATTTGTTAGAAAACTTGGCAACTGGCATGAAATAAAATTGTCCTGTGCTTACTAACTTACCTTCTACTAGTCTGATTTCTTCTCTTTTTTAGTTCATATATGCTGATCAAGATCAGGAAGTCTAGGATTTTTCTCTCTATGGTTGTTCGCTGCTTTGAGAAATAGTTCTAAGAGTCTCTTTTCCTGGATTTTCTTTTTTTTCCCCCTTTAATGTTAGGATCTAAATAAAAAAAGAATCTTCTCACCCAGTTCCAGTCACTGTTCATCTACACAGCTCTTGCACATTTCTTTGTTGCCTCGGCTGTCTCAGCTTCATGGCAGCCATGATAGTTACTTTTTCTCCTCCTTGTGGATGAGAAGGAAAAAGCCCTGGGTCAAGCAGGAGAGTTGCTGTTCTCCACGACCTGCAGGGCACCCTTCTTTTCTTCACCACCCCTACAGGGTGGTTTTAGCTCCTTTTGGAGCCCTCCAATGGGGAGAACACGGCACAGGAGCGCAGAGACCCGCTCCTCGCATCCAATCTCACTGCAACGTCAGCCAGAAGTCCTTTTTTACCCATTTTTTTATCCATGTTGTCTGGCTGTAATATTATCCTTCTTATGTTCTTTATTACCCCCTCTTATTGGTATTATTATCATGATTATTACTATTACTGATCATTATTATTACTCTGTTGCTTTGCATATACACTGAGAACTTCCCAGCCAGAGACAAATCCCTTGTGTGCCTAATCACATTTGGCCAAATAAAAGTGTTCTGTTCTGTTCTAACAATCTAATGAAGCATTTCACTTAAGCTTATGTCTTAACAAAATTTGTTACAGTAATTGGGAAAGATGCTACCGGACTCCTGGTTTTTGCAGCCATTGACAAACATAGTTCTTCCTTTACAATATCCAGGTTATCAGTATCATAGATTGTGATGTATGGTGTATTATAGTAAATATTGGTTACTTTAAGCAAGCCACTATCTCTCAACAGCCTCCAAGCATTTCAGAGGAGGTAATAAAATAATCCCAAATCGGCCTTGAATTTCTAGGAAGATGAATTGAATAATTTACACTGATAATAATCTTATACACACTATTCTTAAAATAATTTTTAAAAAGTTGCTACTGTTATTAAAATTAATACATTAAAATTTCCTAGGTTGTTAAAAAGTTATTTAACACATTAGAAATAGAAAAACAATACAAATTCATTAATAGCAATTAGCAAAACATAGCATATCAAAAATATTATAAAATACCTAAAAGCTTAATGGTTTAATACCAGAAAGTGCTAATTTTCAGAAGGGATGAAGAGATGATGATGATGACAGTTGTCATTGTCATCATCATTATCATCATCTCATCATCCCTTCTAAAAAGATTTGGGATAAACGACATGTCTTTATTTTGAAAGAAAGGTCAAGCACAATGATACCTCACATTGGAGAAGAATTCCTTGTTCACCCCCCATGCGTACTATATTTAGACTTCAGCAGGCATTTGACAAAGTAGACCACAACCTACTTCTTGGTAAGCTAGAAAAATGTGGGATAGACAGCACCACCACCGATGGATTTATAACTGGCTGATAAACCATACTCAATGAGTAGTCCATAATAGTATTATGTCTGCATGGAGGGAAGTAAGCCGGGGTGAAATCCAGCAGGTTCTGACAGGTTCTGGAGAACCGGTAGTGGAAATTTTGAGCAGTTCAGAAAACCGGTAGCGGAAATTTTGAGTAGTTCAGGGAACCGGCAAATACCACCTCTGGCTGTCCCCAGAATGGGGTGGGAATGGAGATTTTCCAATATCCTCCCCCTGGAGTGGGGTGGGAATGGAGATTTTGCAGTATCCTTCCCCTGCCATGCCCACCAAGCCACGCCCACCAAGCCACACCATGTCCACCAAGCCATGCCCACAGAACCAGTAGTAAAAAAAATTGGATTTCACCACTGAAGTAAGCAGTGGGATACCACAAGTTTCCGTCTTAGACTGGGTACTCTTTAATATCTTCGTAGATGACTTAGATGAGGGAATAGAAGGGGAACTCATCAAAAGTGCCAATGACAATAAGCTGGCAGAAATAGCCAACACCCCAGAAGACACACTCAGGATCCAAAAAGATCTTGACAGGCTTGAACAATGGGCCCTATCCAACAAAATGAAATTTAATATGGAGAAAAGCAAGGTTTTACACCTGGGCAGGAAAAAACCAAAGGTACAAGTACAGATTAGGCAAAACCTGGCTCAAAAACAGTAACTGTGAGAGGGACCTTGGAGTCCTAGTGGACAATCACTTAAACGTCAGTCAGCAATGTGCAGCAGGAGCCAAAAAAGCAGTGGTGAAATCCTTCGCTGATGGGCACCGGTTTGCTGCCCGCACATGCGCAGTGCATGCCAGATGTGTGCTGCGCGCATGCATGCACAGTCCACACCAGATGCACGCTGCATGAGCATGCGCAATCCACACCAGACACACTTTTGATTTCCTGCTCTTTTTTTTACTTTTTAAAGCATTTTTAACTACCAGTTCCAGAGAACCAGTAGTAAAAAAATGCTTAAAAAGTAAAAAAAAAAAAAAAGTTCTGAAGATCAGCTGAGCAACGCACGATCGTCGGACCTTTTTTTTTTTTACTTTTTAAAGCATTTTTTTACTACCGGTTCGGGCGAACCGGCCCAAACCAGTAACATTTCACCCCCCACCCCTGCAAAAAAGCTAATGCAGTCCTTGGTTGTATAAACAGAAACATAGAATCAAAATCACTGGCTGCACTGGCTCCCTATTGGTCTCCGGGCACAATACAAGGTGTTGGTTATTACATTTAAAGCCCTACATGGCTCAGGGCCAGGCTATCTTTGAGACCGCCTTCTACCACATAGCTCCCAGCGACCAGTAAGATCCCACAGAGTTGGTTTCCTCTGGGTCCTGTCAGCTAAACAATGCCGGCTGGCAGGCCCGCGGGGGAAGGCCTTCTCTGTGGCTGCCCCAGCTCTCTGGAACCAGTTACCTCCTGAGATCCGGACTATCCCCCACCCTATTGGCCTTCCGGAAAGCGGTGAAGACCTGGCTTTTCCGGCAGGCCTGGGGCCGTTGATCTCGCTGTTGCTTGCGAGATCTGGCCATGAATGGTGTGCATGGACTTTTAATGTTTTTAAAATGTTTTTATAATGTTTTTAAATAATTTTTCTATGCTCATTGTTCGCATTGTTTTTGCTGTAAGCCGCCCAGAGTCCCTTGGGAGTTGGGCGGCATAGAAATGCGATAAATTAAATTAAATTAAATTAAATTAAAGGGGACATGATAGCAGTAGTCCAGGATTTGAGAGGCTGCCACAAAGAGGAGGGGGTCATCTTATTTTCCAAAGCATCAGAGGGCAGGACAAGCAACAATGGATGGAATCTAATCAAGGAGAGAAGCAACCTGGAATTGAGGAGAAACTTCCTAACAGTGAGAACAATTAACCAATGGAACAGCTTGTCTCCAGAAGTTGTGGGATTCAACACTTAAGAAAAGACTGGACAGCCACTTGTCTGAAATGGTACACGGTCTCCTGCTTGAGTAGGGGGTTGGACTAGAAGACCTCCAAGGTCCCTTCCTGCTCATTCTATTCTAAGTTATACTGCAAGACACAGGATGGCAGGCAATTTCTGAGCGTGCTCGATAAGCACACCGGAAACAGTAAAAAAGGCTTCCTTGCTGCGGATGGTGGTTTCAGGAATCAAAGCTGCTCTCTTAAGAAAAATGCTAAGGGCTGCAGCTAGATTTAAGCTACGCTTAATGATGCCAGGGAATTGGAATGATTTTATTTTTTTTAAAAAAAATAGATCTCCATCTTCTCCAATTAAAGAAAGCGCAATTTGGAGTAGGAACTCAGACCAGAACATGTCCTGGCTGGCACGTGGTGTGAAGGGTTTTTTTTTTTAAAAAAAGATGCCTCTGGGCATGTGCAAAGTACAGCTGCCTCTGCCTTGAGCAAATAAGAATAAGAAGGGGGTGAGACGAAGGAAGAGAAGAATAATTTCTTTTATTTTATTATAGCTAAGACACTGAGCTTGTCGATCAGAAAGGTCGGCAGTTCGGCGGTATGACTCCCTACTAAAAGTTCTCCTGCGTGAGCTGGGGGGTTGGACTAGATGACCTCCAAGCTCCCTTCCAACTGTTACTGTTACTGGTTTGAATCCCTAGTACAGGTCTTCTGCGTGAGCAGGGGGTTGGACTAGATGACCTCCAAGGTCCCTTCCAACTCTGTTACTGTTACTGGTTTGAATCCCTAGTACAGGTCTCCTGCGTGAGCAGGGGGTTGGACTAGATGACCTCCAGGGTCCCTTCCAACTCTGTTACTGTTAATTTCCCCAAATCAGAGTTTTAATTGGTCGAGGCTGGCAAATCTCTCTCTCTAGGCTGGGAGTAAGATCCCCCGTTCTGAACTCCGCCGTAACCATGACAACCAAGACTCCTTTTTTTTTTCCCCTCCCCTCCCCTCCCACCTTTTTCACCCTCTCCCCGCCCTCGTCCGTTCGACTCCGGTGGGCGGGGCCGCGTCTTCACGGTGGGCTGAAGCTGAGGCCGGGCGCCGCCTTGCTTGGAAGAAGCGGGGCGCGATGGATCCGGGCTCGCTCTTGCTGGAGGCGGCGAACTGGAGCACCATCGCGGCCTGCCTGGTGCTCAAATTGCCCCAGGGAGCCGCCTTGGTGGCCGCCAGGTCCGCCCGAGGAGTCAGCCTGGAAAGTTTATTACTGGAGCTCGGCGGGTAAGGAAAGACTTTTCCGCCAAGTTGTCCTGCGGCGGCGGCAACAGCAACAGCGGCAACCTCCGCGCTCTTCTTCTCCCGCCTGCCCCGGTCTTTGGGAAGGAAGGAGAGGCTTCTTTTCCCGGTGTCCACGGAGGAGTTGAGACCTGCGGAAGGGATCGCGGGTCGGCTCTTCTCCCTCCCCGCGACCCCCTTCCCCGTTTGGAGGCTGCGGCTGTTTGTTGCTGGGCGGCGATGCCAAGGGGGCTCTTCTGAACCTGCCCCGCCGCGGGCAAAAGGGAACGCCCGGCCCGAGTTCGGCTGCGGATACATAACGTAACCTCAAGGGAAAAAGAGGTTGGCGACTAATGGCCGTGGGTTTTTTTTTTTCCGAAAAGGAAGTCCTGGGACACGAAGCGTCTTCTGGGACACCCTCTGGAGCCTCATCTGGCCTCTCTCTCTCTCTCTCTCTCTCTCTCTCTCTCTCTCTCTCACACACACACACACACACATATACACACACAGACAGACACACACACAGAGACACACACACACACACACATATACACACATATATACACAGACAGACAGACACACACACACAGATATATACACACACAGATATATACACACACAGACAGACACACACACACATACACACATATATACACAGACAGACACACACATATACACACACACACACACACACATATACACACATATATACACAGACAGACAGACACACACGGAGACAGAACACACACAAACACAGACAGACAGACAGACACACACACACAGATATATACACACACAGACAGACACACACACACACACACACACACACACACACACACCTTTCCGGCTTTGGCCGCTTTGCTTCTTTTTTTCGTCTCCGCACAGGAATTGGGCTTTTTTTTTTTATTCTGGGCGCCACTTCAAGCCAACAGCTGCCCTGCCCTTTTCTCTGGGCTTTTCTACAGTTTGGCTTCGTGGTTTAAACGAGAGGGTTGTAGGAGGCCTCTAAGGAGGAGGAGAATCTGGCAAAACAATCCTTTTTGGTTGGATTTGAAAGCCAAGGAAAAGAAAAGTTGCAGCAGCCACTGTTCAGCCCTCAGTTGCCTCCCTGAAAGGAAGCACATATATAGAGCCTAAAACGGGGCTCCAAATTCAGTCCCCAAACCCCTTCCCAGTTCATATAATATTGGCACTCCTCGATTTGTGATTGCAGTTGAGCCCAAGGTTTCTATGGCTAAGTGAAACATTCGTTAAGCGCATTTTGTCCCATTTTATGGCCTTTCTTACCACAGTTGTTAAATGAATCACTGCAGGTGTTAAGTGAATCTCGATTCCCCTTTGACTTTGCTTGTAAGAAGGACACAAAAAGTGATTGCATGACCCTGGGACACTGCAACTGTCTTAAATATGAATCGGTTGCCAAGCATCCGAATTTTGATCAGATGACGGTGGAGATACTGCCATGGTCATAAGTGAGAAAAATGGTCATAAGTCACGTTTTCAGTGCTGTTGTAACTTTGAATGGTCACTAAGTGAACTATTGTTAGTTGAGGATTACCTGTAAATATAATAAAAGATAACATTAGTGCCATGGAGCATCTCATGGCTGCATTTCCCTTACGATGCCAAGTAAAATTTTTCTATCTAAGATACTTGAGGTTCCAGGCCAAACCACTGGGAGTCCCCACATTGAAGTTCTTAGGAAACGTTTTACTTTTCTGTAGAAGTGGACTTTTGCAACTTTTTCTAATTCCGTGTTCTTTAGCTGTGTCAACTTCTTTCTCCCTTTATTTGGGCTGAGTTAGGTTGTTTTTCAGACTGTTTACCATGACAACCATTTGTCTGGAATTGTATAGGGCCGTGATGGTGAACCTTTTCGGCACCAAGTGCCCAAACTGGAACGCGCATGCATGTGTGTACATGTTCATGCGCCAGAGCATCGGAAACCCAAAGACCAGTTGGCTGGCATGCGCATGCGTTTTTTGGCTGTTTTTTGGGCTGTTTTCAGGCTGTTTTTGGCCATTTTCAGGCCGTTTTTCAGGCTGTTTTTGACCCCTGAAAATGGCTCAAAAATGGCCTGAAAACAGCCCCAAAAACTGCCTGAAAAGCTGGAAAACGCCCTGAAAACAGCCCAAAAAACGGCCCAGAAAACAGCCTGGAAAAGGCCCGGAAAATGGCCTCTTTTTGGGCCGTTTTTCAGACTGTTTTCCAGCACTCCGGTGCCAGCGCTGGAAACCAGAAGAGCAGCTGGTAATGGCATGTGTGTCCACAGAGAGGGTGGCATGCGTGCCATAGTTTCACCATCACGGGTATAGGGTCTCCTGCTTGAGCAGAGGGTTGGACTAGAAGATCTCCAAGGTCCCTTCCAACTCCGCTATTCTCTAAGCTGCGTGCTCTGAAACCCACAGTAAGAATAATAAAGCATGGGGAATCTAAAGCTGTATATCGTAATCTCTTACTCGGCTGTTGCACTTCATGGATAGTTGTGCTGAAGCTTCCCCCATGGAAGTGAAGAATGACATTTTATTGTGCTGATAGTGACAGTTCTGCAATTCCTAAGTGTCTTGTTACTCTTTATCAATACCTATCTATAAAAAAAAAACAAAGTGTATTCTTGAGGCAGACAAATGTGGCCAAATGTGTTCCTTTCATTAAAAAATGATTTTTATTCTGTCTTCTTTGTTCTTTGCAGTTTTATAATAATATCGTTACAAGCTTGTGAGTCAGTGACTCTGGCGGACTGGCATTTAAGCCTCTCCAAAAGAAAAGGAAGCCAATTCGAGCTTACCGCTGTGCCACAGGAAGTCAGAGAAGCTTTTAACTTTTTTGTATGCCGTTTAGTTTGGGGGAGAGGTTTGGCTCCTTACATTCTGATTTGAACAAGAAAAGTCTCAAGTCATTTTTCTGATCTCGTCCTTGCACACTTTGCCGACTCAGCCAGTGTGCTCCTTTTTTAATCTCCAAATGGTTGGCAAATTAGCTTAGTTTCCCTCGCCTGTGCCTGCCAGATACTTCTCCCATAATTCTCAGCCAGCTTTATTATTGGCCTTGCTGGTTGAAAATTCTGTACATCCTGAGGATACTAGGTTGGAAAAAGCTGAGGTACTTTTTGTGAGCAGATGACACCTTTGCCATGTCCTTAGTGCTCTATGACATCTCTACTCTTGGCTTCCATGACTTTGGCGGCATTGATATCTGCAGTAGAAAAACTTACATACAGGTAATCCTCAACATACGACCATAATGAAGCCTGCCCATTATGGTCGTAAGTTGTGATGACTGTAAAGGGGCTCATCACGTGAGCGATCTGATTTTATGACCTTTTTATTGCAGCAACTGTTAAGCAAACTCATCATTTGTTGTGGGCATTTTTGTCAAGAACGAGAAGTAAACACTGGTTTTCAGCCAAAACATAAAAAGTGGTCATATGATTGCATGACTGCATATGGCCGTAAATGCAGGAAAGTTATGTGATTGAGATACGCATATTGAGATGCAAAGCGGACCAAGTTTAGGTCCAGTGTGAGCATTCGTGTTCTCATTGGCATTTGTAGAAAGAGCCACTTCTGGTCTCACATAGGAAGTCTGCACTTCATGAAAGCATGATGAATTCTGTAAGGTGAACTCAAGACAAGTATTTTACCAAATCTATGTTAGGTATTGTGCAGCTTCTTTAGGCAAGGCACAGATGCTTCACAAAATGTGAAATCCTTTCTCCTGCTTCAGATCCAAGTTCTGCATGCCTCTGTTATGTGGTATTGAAATCAAGATTGGCACAAAATAGCTTTTCTTCCTTTCAGTTATATGGAACAACTTTTTCTTGGGACTCTACTCCTCTGGCATGTTTTGTGGGAATTGAACATCCAGAATTCTAGATTGTATCAGAACAGTGAAGTTTGAGAAAGAGCTTCTAGTACAGTGAGGGCGAACATTTTCGGCACTCGGCGGAAACATCATGCGCTCACGCTCATCGGGGCCACGCTCTGTAAAAGCCGAACTTCTGAGTTCTAGCGTGCATGCACACATGACGATGAGCTGGCTAGCACATGCGCAGGCCAGTTTTTGGCACTGCTGCGCATGCGAAGGGATCACACTCCAGAAAAACTGAACTTCCAAATTCTGGAGCGCATGCACACCCGACAATCAGCTGGCCGGCGTGCATGCGCACACCGGTTTTTGGCACTGCCGTGCACACAAAGGACAGCTGATCATTGTGCGTCCATGTGCACCAGAAACCCGGAAGATAAACAGGCAAGGCCGGGTGACATGGCTTTGCGTGCCACTTTGGGCACACGTGCCATAGGATCACCATCACAGTTCTAGTAGAATTAACATAGAATGGGGTCCAGATGACGATTTCAGTATTTGGCTTTGAAAAGCTTCTTGAACAGAGATATATTCTGTATTTACTAGCATTAAAATGAGCAGGATTGCTCTCTTGAGTGACTAATGCTGCAAAAAAGAACCAGTTTATACTTTATTTTTTAACATTTGCTGACATTTTAAACAAGCATTCCCTTTTAAAAGCTGTATTTCTAGAGCAGGCTGTACTTACATGGAAGTGGGGAAAGGCTCTGAGACTGTTCTCACAAGATCAAAAACTATTGTATCCCAAAGCTGCATATATGTTTATGTGCATTTGAATTTACTGCTAATCCCAGTCCAGGAGAAAGTTTACTACAGCTTTTAACAGGAAACCAGGCCTTCTTGTTATTTGTGAACTAATCCCAAGTATAAACTACAACCCTGCAGAGGTTTGAATTTCTCTTCAAGTGTTTTGTATAAAAAAGTAAAGCTTTGTTCAAAACATGGCACTAGATCCAAACATGTGAAATCCAGCTTTCTCTCCTTTCTTGGCTCCTGTTGTTTCCTGTAATAGGATAGGATAGGATAGGATAGGATTCTTTATTGGCCAAGTGTGATTGGACACACAAGGAATTTGTCTTGGTGCATACGCTCTCAAAGACAAAATACATTCATCAAGAATCATAAAGTACAACACTTAATGATAGTCATAGGGAACAAATAAGCAATGAAATCATATTAGGAAACAGTCAATATAAGGATACCAGCAATAAGGTTACAGTCATACAGTCATAAGCGGGAGGAGATGGGTGATAGGACGAGAAGATTAATAGTAATGCAGACTTAGTGAATAGTTTGACAGTGTTGAGGGAATTATTTGTTTAGCAGAGTGACGGCGTTTGGGAAAAAACTGTTCTTATGTCTAGTTGTTCTGGTGTGCAGTGCTCTATAGCGTCGTATTGAGGGTAGGAGTTGTAACAATTTATCTCCAGGATGTGAGGGGTCTGTAAATATTTTCACAGCCCTCTTTTTGACTCGTGCAGTATACAGGGTCCTCAGTGGAAGGCAGGTTGGTAGTAATTGTTTTTTCTGCAGTTCTAATTATCCTCTGAAGTCTGTGTCTGTCTTGTTGGGTTGCAGAACCAAACCAGACAGTTATAGAGGTGCAGATGACAGACTTATCACGTGGTTGTAATATCACAGTTGGTAAAAATCACAATTGGCAGAATTAGCCTTCTAATTCAATTTCAGGAGCGTATAGGGTAAGATTCCGGGCGCTATAAACGCTGTGTCCCTGGCTTTTATTTGACAGCTCTTGGCCTGCTTCCTTCTCTATCTCCTGCTTTGTTTTAAATGTTTTTAATATTTATGATTTTAATTGCAAGCAACCCAGTCACTGTTCAGAGTGAGGTAAGGTGGCATATAGATTTAATAAATAAATACAGTACAATACATTACTTCTTTGGCTGCCCTGGGAAGATCAAATTCTGCCTTTGTGCCTTGGTTTGGAGATGCCTTTAAACTCAATTGGTTTGTTCTGAATATTGTGATAAATTGTTTAAAAATTGAGGAATTATTTGGTGTGAAGTTAGGCCCATGGAGGAAGAGGAAGAATAATAAAGCTTGTTCTCAGATGACTGGGCTGCAGTGGTGAAATGTAAAATTTGTTACTACCGGTTCTGTGGGCATGGCTTGGGAGGGTGGGTAATGTGACTGGGTGGGCGTAGCCAACTTTTGTTTTTTTTACTTTTAAAAGCATTTTTTCTACAACCTCTTCGGCTGAAGAGGTTGTAGAACAAAATGCTTTTTAAAGCCTCTGATGATCCCAGCTGATGATCGTGCTGGGCATGGGGAGGGGGGCGCATGGGGGGGGGCAGGGATTTTTGCTACCGGTTCTCCAAACCATCCACCACCATCGCTACCGGATCAAGGGATCCGGTCCGAACCGGGAGCATTTCATCCCTGCTGGGCTAGTTACCGTATGTCTGAATTGGCCCCATTGATTGATGTTATGCTTTCTTTTCCAGTTTCCTTGTTTGCCTGAGATACATGAGTTACTACCATTATCCTCAGCTAACATATATAGAATATCCCCTCATGATTATGCAAGGTAGGATTTGTTCCTCATTTATTATTCCACCATTCTTTTGTTTTTCTCAATCATGTAGTAATGAACTTTGTTTTGTTTTCTTTCAGATATCATTCTTTGCCTGCTTGTTCTGCATTTCAATGGCAAAATGAAGCATGCTTTGCCTTACACAGTCATGTATCCTTCACTTTATGGATTTGTTCTTTTCCATTTATATCATTGTTCTTCCATCCCATTTTTAGAATTAAGCCTTCTTCCATGTTTCTTATTAGATGTTCACATGTACAAGATCTTAGCCAAACATTTTCTAGTGGGATTAATGTCGTTCATTGGCAATTGAAGTTTCTTTAATGGAATAGACAAACTTTGTGAGAAGTTTTCAAGTGTAGCAGAAGTGGGCCTGCTTTTAATTCAGGGATAGAAGAAGTGGCTCTGCCATGTTGTTGGGCTACAAAATCTATTATCTCTGTTAACTGTTGGGCATTCAGGCTAGGACTGGTGGATTTTGGAGTCCAAAACTTCTAAAGAAGTATTTGGAAGCTCAGCTTGTATAGGTGAATATATATGTGATATTTTTCATAACTTACTTGGGGTCAAGCTTTTATAGGAAATTTATACTCATTGGATTCCGAAATGAAACTCTTTTTTTTTTTTTTTTCATTTTGCAGTTAGGATGGATGAGATCATAAAGACATTGTTAACTTAAATATGTTACCTTAAAATGATCATAAAGACATTTCCCAAGTATCACAAGAACCATTGTACAATAGTTTGTTTCCCAATTGGATCCCAAGTGGCCTGGAAGTTAGAAATTTGTGGATCTGGACTTGGAGTGTGAAATGAAGGCTGAGAATGTCAAGTTTATTCATTCCATGACCAGTATAAATCCATCTCTGCAAAATGGGTGCAATGGGGCTGTAGTGCTTTGGATTCAGATCTTTCACAACAAGTAGGGACATGAGTATAGCATTTGTCCGCAACTCTTTAAAGCAGCTACATCATTTCCCAGGAGCAGGATGCAGCTGTATAATAGAAATAGCACTTATATACTGCTTCATAGCAATAGCACTTATAGACTGCTCCCTCCAAGTGGTTTACAGAGTTAGCATATTGCCCCCAACAATCTGGGTCCTCATTTTACCAACCTCGGAAGGATGGAAGGTTGAATTAAACTTGAGCTGGTCAGGATCAAATTCCTGACAGTGGGACAGAGTCAATCTGCAATACTACATTCTAACCACTGCACTTGGGATTCTGGGGAAAGATGCAGCTGTGGCAGCTGTGGCAAACACAAAGATGCAGCTGTGGCAAACAGTTATATACTCTGAAACCCTTTTCTGATCTCTCTCTGAACTGCTTCACAATTCTCATTTGTAATACATACTTGGATTTGCTAACCTCCAAGGAGCTTTCTTGGGGATCCTGAGGGCATGTCTACGCAGTTTGGCTGAACATGCACAAGTAAAAGCAAATTGTTAATTAATAATTTTAGGCTTGTTAGTTCAGTCATCTTCTCCTGATGAATAATTTAATGTATGTGGATGTGAAGGTTAAAGATGATTGAAATCAGTGGTATATCAAAAGGATTGCAAATAAGGAAAGGAGAAGAGCACAATAAAGTGACTGCATCGGTTAAAATCAGATTATGCCACAGATCCACCAAGCATCCTTTTAACCTTCACCTGCATTATGTATCTTAACCTGAAAGGTTAGATTTGTGGCAGGATGGTATGCTATAACTCTGCAGGAATGGATATTGGACTTGAGTATGGTAAGGAGTTGAAAGAGTGTGCTTATGTAATTAGCCATTCTACATGTTGCAATTTGTAATGGGAAATCACCCCGAAGTGTGTGGGGCAGGAACTTCATTGAAATGAAAAATCAGAAGCTCATTGTTTTATCTTCTGCTTCCCTTCACTTGAATTAAGATGCATCATCACTTAATGATGTGGCATAACCCTTGAAATTGAGTCGCTCTACATTTTGTGTTGATTGGAAAGATGTTGCTCTTTAGGCCATCATGGGTCTCTCTGCAGGGAGGCAAAGAGGAGGACAAGTGACATCATATGGTTGGTTTGGGCACAGCCCAGTGTATGCCGTGCTTACAAAATAGCTTGCTACTTCAAGCTCAAGAGGCCAAAATAAAGAAAGGGTCTAATTGTTTCCTTCAATAATTTTGGTATTTCATTAAAGTTTAGAGTGTTTCATTAAAGTTTGATTAAAGTTTAAAGTTCTGTGGGTACACTGGGCAATGCCTTGAAACACCTCAGTATCTGCTTGCCTTGTTGTAAAGCCAGCCAGGTCAAAGAGCCTTGGTAGTACAGGGGTTTAAGGCACCCTGTTATTAAGCTGGTTATTAAGACCAGCTGCCTGCAATTACTGCAGGGTTCGAATCTCGCCAAGGCTCAAGGTTGACTCAGCCTTCCATCCTTTCTAAGGTAGGTAAATTGAGGACCCAGTTGTGGGGGCAATAAGCTGACTTTGTATAAATATACAAAAGAATGAAGGCTATTGCTTAACGCATTGTAAGCCGCCCTGAGTCTTCGGAGAAGGGCGGCATATAAATCAAATTTAAAAAAAAAAATAGTCCAAAAACATGGAGATTTGGAAACATAAGATGAATAAGTTAGGATAGAAATTGTATCAGAAAATTCAAGTTTGTCTAGCTTTTAACTGTTATGAAGAAATAAATATGTTAACTTAAAATGATCGCCTAACCTTGGGAGTGACCAAATATTATTTTACTACACTACTGATCAGTATGATTATTAATGAAGGCCATACCTTACAATAACCTAGAGCAGACATCCTTCTGGGGGCTGGGTTGGTTATCTGAATGAACCAAGGGGATGAAGTAATGAAAAATGGTAAGGGCAATTTTTTTTTTAAAAAAAAAACTATGTCAAGTTATTTTATTTTTATTTTATTATTTTATTTTATGTATCTAAAGTAGTTGCCACTAATTTTTGCCAGTTGTAGCTTTAATGGTGATTGGCCCAGTATAGTACTAGGGCCTCAAGTTCTCTGTCCCTGGGGCAGTAAAACACTAGCCTGCATCAGCTCATCAGTCTTGGCTAAATTACTGGCTGACTAAATGATGGCCTAGGCCAATATAATCTAGCCCAGGGGTCAGCAACCTGCGGCTCCAGAGCTTCATGTGCCTCTTTCATCCCTCTGCTGCGGTTCCCTATTACTCAAAATATGCGTCACAACCGCCAGTGTGCGACATCCGTTGACACACAATTTATTGAGCTTTTCAACCCCCCGGTAGGCCAATTATGGATAAATCCAAGAAAAGAAAAGTTTTAGAAGAAAAGAGAACGTTTAATTCAACTACATATGCTAGTTTTGTGGCCGCTCAAGAAATAGTCAGGCACGGGAAGGGTTTTGTGGCTCCCGGTGTTTTCTGTGGGAAACGGGTCCAGATGGCTCTTTGAGTGTTTAAGGTTGCAGACCCCTGGTCTAGCCCATAGTTAGGATATCATCACAACTCCATATATCCTGACTTCTTATCAGCCCTTTTTAAATTGGGTCTAAAATGTGTCTCTAGGTATTAGGTGAGAATAAGTTGTTTCCCATTTCTACAGTATTTACTGGTTCGGCCATCAGTTGCAGGTTCCTAGAAAGGGGCTGCAGTTGCTATGGGGTTCTGTTTTTAAGTTACTGATTTTAGTAGCTGTCTTTTTAATAGTCTTGTCACTTGTGTTATGTATGCCACCGTGGAAGAGCCCCCAATTAAACAGGATCTACAATAAAATACCTTTGTTGAACCATGATTTGTTAACTATGGTAGGTGGATTGTACAATAGTCTTAAATCCAACAAATCTCAGTATGGCTTTGCATAACTTGCAAAGGAATTGTTCGATGCATCGGTGCAGACCGAAGCATTAAATGTCATCTTCACTAGCTGCCAGCAGCCTTGTTGGATCTGAAGCGGAATATGCCCTTTGGGTCCTGGGACATGAAATCTTTTTTGAATAGGCAGCAACAGTGATTCAGTTTCTGCTTACAAAAAGAATTGAGCGATGGGACACCTCCTATCTTTCAATGTGATCTTTGTTTTAACGGTTGCATTCCTATTCTTCCATTTCTGCAGAACCTGAGCACAGTGGTCAGTGCAGCAAGTAAACTTGCTCAGCTCCAGTGTCTTTGGCAGACTAGAGATTCTGAACAAGTGAGTGCCACAACTTGGGGATTAGCCATATACACCTGTGCAGGTAAGCAATATCTATCCTATCAATATGTTTGTGGAATTTCTCAGTATATGTTTTTTTCCCCCCTTCGGTTCAATCATGTCCAATTCTCACTTTTTTCAGAAGTGGTTTGCCGTTCCCTCTCTTCTAAATCTGAGAGAAAGTGGCTGATCCAATGCCACCCAGTTGGCTTTGTGCCTCAGCTAGGACGAGAACTCCTGATATTCTGTGTGCAGCCTGATGTCTTAATCACTGGACCAAACAGAATGAAATTTAAAATTATTGGAAAAATTTCAACGTTAACGTTTATGAGCTACTGTTAAATGCAGTTTGTTGAAATAAGGTTTTAAGTCCTGCAAAAATTGATGAGAAAATGAAAACAAATACCTGAAAGATAGTATTTTTGGTTGAAAGATTATCTTATGGGAGGAACATGTGAGTGCATACCAAAGGGGAAGTAGGAAGGAACATTTCAGGCAGATGCTTGACAAGATTTCTCCATCAGACATGATAACGGTTCTGCATATCTTATTTGCCAGGATTGAAAGAGAATTGACAGCTAAAGTATGAAACTCATTTGTTTAAAATCTGCTAACTTTCAAAATCTCTCGCTTTCTCCCAATTAAAGCAAGAATATTTACAACATTAATGACTACAAAGGATTCTACAGGTAATGTTACATTATTATTGGGGAGTCTTTTAGCAGGGGTTTTAAACATATCTACAGAAAAAGTGGAAGTGTAGAGGAAGGTAGAGATAACAGTGGCACAGGATGCAAGAACTGTTAGCAGCCAACAGTATCTCGGCTCTTGGAAAAGTGGGACCTAAGAAAAAGACTCAAAATACCCCTGCTTTGATTTTCTACGGGACAAAAGGCTTTCAGATTGTATTATACTCTATAACAATAAAATACCAGTACAGGTAGTTCTATGTTAATAACCACTTCCTCAGCAACTGAAATTACAGTGGCACTCAACGAGAGGTAGTTACCACTGTCCTTGATGTTTCAGCCCTCCCAGGACCCCCACAGTCACATGATCTCAATCTGGGCACTTGACAGCCGGCTCACTCTTACAACCATTGTAGGATCTCAGAGTCACAGGATTGCCATTTGCAACCTTCCCTGCTAGCTTCCCACAAGCAAAGTCACTTCCATCCAGCAATAGTTACCTCAACCCCTTGCTAGACTCACAATACGGCACACCTGCCCCCCCCCCCCGACACACACCCTCCCCCACCTGGCAGCAGCCACTCCAACTCTTGATGTGCTTGCAGCATACTGTGCTGATCCCTCATGCACCCTTGCCAGCTGTCTAGTGCGTGCAACTGGTTTTCGCACTGTGGTTGCTGGAAGCCAGCAGAAAATTATGTGGAAGGCCTTGCTTAATGACCTGTGAACCTCTCTTAAGGACAGCAGTGGGGACTGTGAAGATTGCCATCAGTAAATGATGCAGTCTCATGAAGTGATGATGTGCTTTATGTCCTCATCGCTCTGTGGACTACTTGTAGTCCTTGCAGTCTCCTGACCTGGCGTCCTTTGGAGTACCTATATGTTCTTACTGGCTATGGAAGACAAGAGAAGAATAACTAGGGAAGAGCTCTCGTTAGAATAAAGGGCTAAATAGAATAACCCAAACTTTCCCATTCACAAGCCACTTTTTTTTTTAAATCAAAAGGAAAGTGTGAAGCAAGGAATCTTTGACTGCAAATCTTAGTCATGTTTGAGCAGTTGAAACAGGCAGTGAGAGGTATGGGGAAATACAACTAATTTCCCCTTCATCATTCAGTCATCTGCTGCCCTTCATTCACTGGAAAATCAATGGAGGACTTTGCTGAATTTGCACAGCATTCTGTAAAATCTGGGAGGTTCCTTCAGGGGATGAAGGAAGGATTCAAAACCAGCCTATGTCCTTCATAAGCATCTCATCCTCCAAAGCTTTGAATAGGAGCACTGAAGGGATGAATAGGAGTGCTTTGAGTTAGGAGTGCTGAAGGGGTTCTCTTTGCAACTATGATCAGAACAGGAAATTTGCCTTCGCTGTGCAGATTTAATTATGCATGTTTACATGTAGACAGATATTGTATATTTTCTGGGAAGACAGGCTTTAAATTTATTATTAATCCCTTCTATTTGAAAACAACAAAAAAGTAATTTTGCAAATGCCTCATCAAGGTAGAAAGGATTTCTTTACCTGAAAGTGCTGAGATGATGATATAGCTTTATGAGAGCTGACTTTTAAATACTGTGATTGTGAGGTATTCTATATAAGTGACACAAGAATCTATGTAAGACGTGGGAATTCCTCTTATAATCTAGTCAAAGAGTGGTGGGGTAAGCATCTGTCACAATGTCATTATGTAAAATGGGAATCACTAGGAATCCTGGAATGCACTTTTAATATGGTGAAGGTGTAACAGAATCTTGAAAGCCTATCAGAAATTCTCTCTACTTCCACTTGTACCTAACCCAATCGCAGTGTTGTTTTGAATTTCTTTCTTACACTTTCTACTTTCCCAGGGCTCAAATATCTAATGGTTTGATGTGGCTCTTTTCCTGCTCTTAAGTCAAATTCACATTCCCACTCCATTAGGAGATTTGGTGTGCAGAAGCTTATTTCTGGGAATATCACTTTACTGAAGGGCTTGTTTTCAATTTGCAACTGCTCTTGTGCCTTTCTTAAAACACACACTTCTTTTAAAGAAACTACAAATTTGGAGTTTGGAAGGAATTGGGTGGGGGGAGGAACAGTGTGATGCTTTGTATGAGGAGAAAGGTTCAGGAGTTTCTCTTCTAGCATAGGTATTGTGCTATTAGTTTGAAAGCTATTGAAGCTATTTCCTAAGTTTAAATTTGATTTGCTTGTTTTATTTTAAGGTATGTAATTGCTAACGAGTATTCTTTCCTCCTTTTCCTAGTTCTGATCCGTTTTGTAGTCATGATGGCTCTTAATATTTGGGTCATCGCTACTATATTGGAATACCGGAAGGCTAAGAAACAAGACTAAGATGCAGATCCTCCTCCTTTTTAAACAAAAACTAAAATTGAGACATTCCATTAAATGAGAGCTGATGTTTACATACTTTACATGTACCTAACATTCAGTGCCAACACCTCAGGTGCATTGTGATGTTTATGATTACTGTTTGTAAAAATAATTGGCTAGATGAACAAAGTATTTCATTTTATATGAGCAGATTGCATAACAAACTTCTCAAACTGGTTGATTTTTATTTGCTGGTTATCTCCGCGGACAATCCCACCCTTCTAGCTCAGTAGGACCAACAACAGTTCAAGCCAACAGAAAACTAATGTTTTACATTTATTGAATTGCTGGTTTTTCAGAACTGTATTTCTGGCAACTGTTACCTGTGGGGGTTTTTTCATTAAGGTGAAATTTATCCTCCAAAGATAAACTAGCCTATGAGGAAATCTTTCTCCGATTTCCTCATGCTAAATGGCCCTCTAAATCTTCATCTTAAAAAAAGACCTGTGTATTTTATTAAGAGTATTTCAAAACAGCTTCAACTACAAAATAATAAATAAATCCTTTTATTTCAGTTCCTGCACTTTAAATATGTTAAACTTGATACTTTTTTGGGGTTTATGTGTCAGTCTATATTTTTTTGAACCAAATTTGTATCGCTATTTTGAGTAGCTGTTAACTGTTATACTTTGGTTCCAAATATAAACAAATACATGAAACCTGAAGAACAACAATATTTCAGCAATTCTTTGAACTTGGTTTAGTGTCCCACTAGGTTTCAAGAAGTATAACTATCATTAGTGCTTAATTCTCAAAGTTACTTCAGCAATAAAGAACGGCGGCATTTCAAAAAAAGATTAGTAAAGCTCTGTGTCTATTCTTTGAACTAAGTATGCAGCTTTCTGCATTTAAACTTAATTAAGGAAATAAAGTGCTTTTGTTTAATGTTAAGTGCAGTACCTTAATTACATTTTCAAAATTTCTTTAACTCTTGAATAATTGTGCATCTCATATGGGAATTAAAAAAAAAAAAATGACCTGCTCTATCATGTGGGAAATTATCATCAGGGAAATTAAGTATTTATGAGTTCAGCTTGTCCCGGTAAAGGGTTTTTGTCAAATTATAGATACAACATTTTATTATGGAGGTGGGAAAGCTATTTTGTTTAGCCTGGTTTGTCAGGATTTTTGTAAGGATAAAAGAAAAAACATCTACATGCATTCCATCTGAGATGACATAAAGATTAAACATTTTAAATTACAATACCATGTAAGTTAATGTCTGTTGTGAGTGTTTGTGTGTGTACCTTCGAGTCAATGTGGGCTCCTAGCGGCTATTTGGATTAGTCCCTGCAGTTTATTGGACAAAGTTTTGTGAAAGATGTTTGCTATTGCATCCTTCCTAGGACTGAGAGGGAGTGACTGGCCCAAGGTCAATCAGTTGGCTTTGTGCCTAAAGTGGGACTAGAATCTAGAATCGTCTCCTCCTCACCTGGTGCCTTAACGGACTAGACCAAAGTGGCTGTGCACTTATGTATACATATGCAGTGCATTCAGAAAGTATTCAGACCCCCTTCACTTCTGTCAATTTTGTTCTGCTGCAACCTGATTTTACAAATGACAAAGTGAAAATAATGTTAGAAATATCTGTACATTTATTAAAAAGAAAAAAACTGAAATACCACATTGGCATAAGCATTCAGACCCTTCACTTAGAACTTTGTTGAAGCACTTCAACAAAGCAATTATAGCTCGAGTCTTTTGGGGTATGACGCGATAAGCTTTGCATACCTGGATGAGGGGATTTTCTGCCATTCTTCCTTTCAAATCCTCACAAGCTCAGGTTCGATGATGACCGTCAGTGGACAGCTAATTTTGGGTCCCTCCAGAGATGTTCAATAGGATTCAAGTCAGGGCTCTGGCTGGGCCACTCTACAATTGGTCCCCAAGCTGTGGACCACGGCCCACTACCAGTCTGTGACCTATTTGCAACCAGGCTGTGTGAGTGGCCGGCTGGTGTGCGTGCATGCGCGTGCATAATCCCAGTTGTGAGCATTGCAGGGGCTCGCGGCCCAGCTTCTGTGAGTGTCGGCACTTGTGGCCCCACTTGCACAAGCATCACAGGTGCTTGCAGCCCCACTCGTGAGCATCGGCGCTTGGGACCTCACGTGTTGTGGGCGCCCTCAGCCTCACAAGCAATGGGTGCACATGCATCTGCCCCTCCCACAAAACCATCCCTTCTTTCCCTCCCCTCCAACCCAGGCCACCAACCTGCAAAGGTTGAGGAACTCTGCTCTAGGATATTCACAGAGTTGTCCCTAAGCCACTCCTGTGTTGTCTGGGCTGTGTGCTTGAGGATCGTCATGTTGGAAAGTGAACCTTCAACCCAGTCAGTTTTCATTGAGCTTATTCCTGTACTTTGCTGCATTCAGCTTTCCCTCAACTTTGACCAGTTTCCCAATCCCTGCTGCTGAAAGTCACTTATTTTGTTGTTGCCACTTTCTTAATACTGTCCTAGGGAGGTAATGAATCTGTAAGGGACAAAAGTCAGAGTCCAACAGGCAAGACTTCTCTAAATTATTATGATCTATAGTAACAAATCCCACAGCTGAGTAAAATCCTAAATCATTGGTCAGATTAAAGTAGGACATATTTCTTGTTTAGTTATCACAATTGGGACCAGCAGCTTTGTCATTAAGTGAAGCTGTCACTAAGTGAGAAATCACATGACTCTGACTGCTTCCCTTTCTCCAACTACTCTATCCGTTGGAATGTTCAGCCCAGTACTGGGATAATTAGCAAGACAAGAATTGTTGGTATTTGAAGAGGAAGGGATTGCAGACAGTAGGGAATATTTTTTAAAAAATGTAGTAGGGCCAGAGGTGGGTTTCAGCAGGTTCTGACCAGTTCTGGAGAACCAGTAGCGGAAATTTTGAGTAGTTCGGAGAACCGGTAGTAAAAATTCTGACTGGCCCCATCCCCATCTATTCTCTGCCTCCCAAGTCTCAGCTGATTGGGAGGAAATGGGGATTTTGCAGTAACCTTCCCCTGGAGTGGGGAGGGAATGGACACTATCCTTCCCCTGCTACACCCAAGCCACGCCCACCAAGCCATGCCACACCCACCAAGCCACACCCACAGAACTGGTAGTAAAAAAATTTGAAACCCACTGAGTAGGGCCCACAGCCTAGAAGGGGGCTGGAAGCGCATTATACAAACAGCCCAGTGTATTCTCCATTGGGTGTCTGCTCACTCTTGTACTCTCTGCTTTGGGTGGGGGGGGGGGGGAGAGGAGAAAAAACATGAGCCAGCCACAAGAGATTGCCTGCAGAAATATATTTCCTCCCCCCTCATAGAAAGCAAGGGAAGGGATTACAAGAGAGTAAGCGGACTTCTAATATTTTCATCCGGAACTTCCAAAATCATACTATATATCTTAAGCAGATAACTTTCTCAATTCTTATACATCTAAATCATCCAATTCTCTTTCCAACTCTTTATCTTGGACCTCAGATTTACTCTCTAGAATTTCCACTCTTATTTTATATTGTCAGATAATTTTTCAATGTCTTTCTCCATTTCTTGTCTTAATTTTACAAATCTTTCATCCATTCATTTCTCAAAATCATCATTTTTCCTAGAGAATTGCTTCTGGTGGGTAATGGCAATCTGACTTACTCTGTGGCTCTCCATAGTTTGGCAATATCTTTTATCTCTCTGGATCAAAGGAAGATTGTGGAATTAAATGTGTGACAGAATTTCCTTCCAATTAAACTGGAAAAAAATTTGCAACTAGATACTCTGGATTTTTATCTCTGCTCCCAACTGCAACAGAGCTGATATGGACATTTACAGCTTTGCTTTTTCCATCTCCTAACTGTTTAAGAAGCAATTAATTATAGATGCAGCAAAGATAAGATTTTTCTTTGAGGATGTTTGAAACGTCAATTCTTTTGGATAAAAAGGATTATCCAATTCTTTTGGATAAAAAGGAAATCATGCTCAGGCTTCTTTCTAAAAGCAAAGTTCTGGTCTGCATTTAAAAGCCTGAAAGTCACTAAATAAAATTACTTTTTAAATATAGATTTTCACATAACCATGTAAGAGTCAATTGAATCTATATACAATGCAGGTTTCAAGTACAATGCAGTTATTCACATTATTATTTTTTTTTAAAAAAATCAACTTGCTAATATTAGTATCTTACTCAAATAGTTTATTTAAAAAAAATATATTTCTTCCAATTCAGATCATCCCACAAATAACAATTTATAATATAAAATATGTATGCCATTAGTGAATTGAAACAAGGTTTATTGTTTACATTTTTTAAACAGTAAGTTTTGTATGCAAAATATGCATTTCCTAATATATTTTGTTGTACACTCACTGTTCAGAGCAAGCACACAAGACAATATTCTTTCACCGTGTCATGAAATTGTAAAAATTAACCAAAATAGAAGTATATTTAAATGTGCAAGCTAGGATATGCATTATTAGATCCTTTTATAGGTACATGATTTTCAGTGGAAACACCCATGTTATAGGTCCAAGTGAATTGATATTTCTTGTGCGTGATCTACTGAAGTGAACTCCTAACAAGTGAGGCTTGAATGAGCCAATCTAAGCGTGTGATGAGCTCAGACGTAACCGCATACAACTGCACAAACAAATGGGACATATGTAGGAGTCCTGCTTGGTGAATTCTACACCAATTCCAATTTTTATGAGGATAGATACCAAATAATTCCTGGTCCTCTCATTTTAAATACTCAATTTCTGTTACTGAAACAAAAACAAAATCTAGTGAAATGTATCAGTCCCTTTCTTCAAATAATAGATTCTACATTCCATTGTTATCATACAACACCTGTGCATATATATGCATACATTTTTTTAAAAAAATCCCAAAGTAGAGTTTCCAATATTTTTCTTTCTTTCTTTTTTTACTCTCATTGTGTTTAACATAGCATCCTGTAGTTCTATATAAAACATGCATTTGTGGGATAAATTATGGACATGGCATGAATGAGTTTACAAATTATATTCTGTACAACATAAAAAAAAATAGATTAAGTGCCTCCGTGGCGCATTTTCCTTCCACAAGTTCTCAAACACAAAACTGAGATTATTTTCCTGTTGCTAAAGCTATGTGCTTAGAGAATAGGACTGAAAGGTTTAAAATACATCTACAGTATTTTTCAGTTATTGTAAAATTCCTTAAACATTGTGCGATGAAAATGTAAAAATAGTTATATTTTTCCAGAAATAAAACACACAGCTAAGATAGTATGAAAAAAAAAAGTGAAAATCATAGCACTTAATAAGGAGAATACAAAGTCTGTGACTAATACTGAGAATTGAACAAAGAACTGATTTCAAAATACCTATGCATGAAAGTTATATATTAGTTCTAATACTACCAGTTCATTGTTTCTGGAAGCAATGTTTAGCTGATTCCCCCCTCCCCTCCCTCTCAAACCTATTAGGTACACATTCATATAGACTGACATTGATATAAACTATTACATGTAAACATAGTGCACTATTATTCTGCAACAAAGCAAAATTGCATTTAAGAGCTGGTAAACCTCTGCATTCTTTTATCTCTTAAATATCAGGAATGAGCATAAACTTTAAGGGGACAAAATTAATTTAAGGCATTCACAACTGATAAAACAAGACTTGGGACTGCTTGTTAGGTAATAAGTACATACCTGGGACTTTTCATTATATTTAACTGCTGAGTGCAGACATGCTGAATAAACAAGTATGAATGATATAAATGTCAACTTTATGGCTTTATACAAGTGCATAGTTGCAAACTGTACTAATGGAATATGAATAAATGTATAAAAATAAAATGGGAAAAAATTTTAAAAACACTTTTGCAGCATTACAATACAATGTGTTTATTTAAACACCAAAATACATACAACACACAGTATAATGGTCACTTTTTAAGATGCAGTCTTCATCGATCTGATATAACCCTGCCACTCATTGCTTTTTTTTTTCTTTTTTTTTGGCAAAGTTGCTGGTAGCGTTTCTCTCCAGAAGCTGAACAAGGATGGATTCTTCACGACTCCTCATCATTTTGATCCCTGTTGAGTCTTTGTGGAAAGAGCTTCAAGAGAATCTCTCTCCTCCACCCACCCACCCCCAAATGTTTAAATATATTTTTATTTCAAGAGGTCTGTGAGTGAGACGTTCTTGCTCTGGAGACATTTTGTTGTTTTGGCTGCAGACTAGGAGTGTCGTTCACCCGAAGAAGCTGGTTTTTACACACAAAGATGGTGATGGAGACACATTGGAGAAAAGAGTAAGCCACGACTTCTAGGTTTTTCACGGAAGCCAGATTTATAGCTTTCTCGTATGAGAAAGGGATAGGTGAAGGCGTGGAGAGGAAAGGAGGGGGGGGGTGTGGAGAGACATGTGAAGAACAGACAGCAAACATCACAGTAGCTCAGGCACAATATAGCAACAAAAGAGAGCAGATAATAAAACCAAAGCTCTGATTTTTATTAAGCGTTATTTGGAAACAAAAGACCTGGCAGCTGCTCCTGTTTGGCCAGATGGAATATACTGACCTTGGCAGGCAAGGCCACTGTGCAAAGCACACTTGATGTCTTCCTCCTGGGCGTTCTTGAGATCTTCTTTTCTTACCATTCCAGGCCTTGAGGGCAGAAGCTTGCAGGGCACGATGATCAGAGAAGGTCAAGGCCCACGGCTTGTGCAGAGGGCACTGGCTGAGGGCATTCCAATTGATGGAAGTCTCTTCCTTGCTTTGATCTCCAGAAGGAAGGGGATACCAGGCACTGCTGGAGGCACGGGGAGGTGCGGTGCAGTGCAGTACCAGTGGTAAAAGGGATTTCTTCATATTTGGTGATACAGGAGAATCTTTGTAATGCAAGTAGTCATTGAGTTACGACTGCAGTTGGGGGGGGGTGGGTTGTGAGGTGTGATAAAGCACGATGCCACATGATTGCTTGATGACCATAATCACTAAGTCCTGGTTGTCCCTAGTAGTAGATAGCCCAAAATGCAGTCTTGCAGGTCATTAAGTGGGAAGCAGAGGGAGTCCCAGGTAAGGAGTGCAGGGGTGCTTGGGGGGGGGGGAGCCTTGAGTAACCCAGAGTAGGCCACATGTGAGTTGGGGATGGGGTGCTCTGTGTGGTGCAAGTTCAGAAGGCCAGGGAATGAGGGTGCAAGGTATATGCAATCACAGGGAAGGAGGCCATGGAAACAGGGCACAGGGAGCCTGTGTATGTGTGTGCACATGTACAAGCTCAGGGAGGCCTTAGAAAATGGGTGCAGGGTGCAACTTTCCTTGGGTTCCCTGTGATTGCATGCAGCCTGCGCCTCTTTTCACAGCCTTCCTCTAATCACATGCACTCCACACCTGCCCCCTACCCACCTGACTCCTGCGCCGGGCCTCCCCCCTGCGGCGTATCCCCCACTTCCTTTCCTGGGCCTCCTTCTGCTTCCCATGGCTCTTGGGCTGCCTGGTGTCAACGGCAATCATAACTCAAGGTACGAAGTTTCAGTCTTATTTCAGAGGGATGAAGATCACCTTGAAAACTGCATTCCCAGAAGGCAGTTAGCTGGAAAAAAAGGAAAGAAAAGACCTCAGTCAGTTTAAATATAGTAAATTCAAATTCATAGTCTGTGGGTTCTAAGGAAATAGAGGTAGGCAACGAGGCAATGCTGGATCTCTCAGCCAATCTGGTTCACATTAGCAAAGCAAAAGATTTCTCTTTGTTTATGTATTTATCTTAAGGAGCAGTTAATTTCTTTCCTTCAGATACCCAGCATTCTGTCACTCTCATTTCAAATTGATTGTCACAACTCACTTTGTTGCTAGAGGGAACCGAATAACAAAGCTGTTGCAGGATCAGAGATGATGCAGAGAATGATGCAAAATGGGGCAAAATTTAGAACTCTCAATCACAGATACTCTTGGTCAAGAGGAAAGCAGCCCATGTATGACACAGAAAGTCCAAAAATCTCTAGGGTGGTAGTGAAAAAAGTTGTTTAATTTTGGGCGATAGCGTGATGGGTATTAGAATAGAATCTAGTTTACATTTCATTTATTTATTTAAAATATTTATATAGCTGACTATCTTTCTCCCAATCAAAAATGATTCGAAGGAAAGATTATATTCCTCTTGAAGTTGATTTGAAAATTAGGAAATCCAGCCTCTTTAAATAATTTGTTGGGGGATGGAGGCAAGAAGTTCTATCATTCCTATGCTGATTATCTAGTGTAATATATTTGCAAAGCAAGTTATACCACACTTTAGTATGACGAAGATACACCAAAGCACGGAAAATCAAGTTTTTACCTTGTCACCTATATATGAGCTTGCAGCAACATGTGACATAACAAAGAATAGATCTGAATGTTCAAAAGTGGATTTGCACAAAGGCAGCCATACATGAAAAATCTACTATAAGAAGCACATGTAAATATATAAGGGATTTTGACATTATAATTTCAAGGCAATAAAAATCATGCATGGATCAAATTATTATTATTATTAGATTTTAAGCCAGCACATATAGCTCTACTGGGAAAAATTGAAAACGCATGCTGTAATAAAACCAATGCATTCTCCTGCAGATATTCATCCATTTACCTCTTTAGAATAAACACATTGTTATCATCATCGCTATCATCAAGATCGTCCTCAGCATCATCAATATTAAAATCAACATCAAAATCAATATCATCAAATGACCAATCCCAGTCTCTACATGCCACACCAATCAATCTGGAAAATGAGGTTTTATTGTGAGCCAAGTTAAGGACAATTCTGAATATCAAAACTACTGAAACATTTTTCTTGTGCATGTTATTACCATTTCTGATACTGGTTAAAATGTAAGAATCATATGCACAAGTCTTATGTACATTCTTAAAATTAACTCCTGGATGTCAAAGTGTATCTCATAATGTATGGAATGCATGGTATTTCCCAGCACAAATGACCCAGGGTTTTCATTTATTGTCAGTGCTTACAAACTGGAATGATGAAGAATTGGCACTCACAAATCTTACAGAGTCACCTCATCTTACTTCTGAAAGTACTTTGCTAGTGCTTCAGAATTTTTCCAAGGAGGCAGAAATGAGGGAAAAAACCAGCAATTTCCTTGGAATATAACTTCCTGGCCATAAAACTTTAGACAGATACTACCACTTAAAGAAAAAAGTTTGACAGAAAAATATGATTTAACATCATGTGCTTTTATCTCTGTTGTAGAATGTATACAAATTGTAAAGTGTATGCAAGTAAGTTTAAGTAATTCATACTGACCTTACTCTACAAATGTAGACTTGTGGCAATTTTATGTGTCAAAATAAAAAAAACCCACAACACCACCAAGATGTAAAAACAAATGGATGGCTTTGTGTGATTAAAGCAACTATGTGAATTAGGCTTGCATATCTGCTTATCTCAGATGCAATGCTAAATGGTTTAGTTCTAAGTAAATGAATCTAAAGTTCGGTTACTCCTGTGTGTCCTTCAAATTTTACTCTGATCATACAGAATTCCTCACAGTGGTTCTTCCTGCAGCATAGCTCATTTGGGTATAAGTGATCTCTGTCCCTAGTATCCATTGTGGCATCATGTGGTGGCATCTCAATTCATATGGGGCATTTGGGAGAAGAAGAACAAAAACAACTGTCCATTCTGCCTGCTCTAAAGCTGAATAAGTTCGAAGAATCTTTCATGGGATTTTGATTGAAAGTTCAATAAAGGGGAATTGAGGTGCACCTTGGTAAATCAGAAAAACGTACTGTGTTTCCCTGAAAATAAGACCCTGTCTTATATTTTTTTGAACCCTGAAATAAACGCTTGGCCTTATTGCCATGCATTCAAAAGCCCGATTGGGCTTATTATCAGGGAATATCTTATTTTGGGGGAAACAGGGTATTGAAGGATCAAGCGCATTCACTTCAGTTCTCCCTCCCTCCTGCTCATGGCAACTTGAAAGCTTTGCAAGTTGACAATCTCATTGTGTAAATCTATCACTGAAGTCTCCAACAGATACGTCATCCTCTTCAAAATTAAAGCCTACCCTTTCTATTTTTTGTAAAGATATCTGTGGCTTTTGTTTTTGCTTTTTCAGATGCTGATTAGTTAACCAACAGTATTTGATTATGAATCAGAATATTTTAAAATGTTGCTAAATCAATAGAGCTGTACTGTCAAAACGTATCATCTGCCTTTGTAAGTTCCACTACTGAACTATAAACTAAAATGCATTTGGCAGTCAAAATGAAAGAACATCTCTATTTATACCTGTATAAAATCAACCTTTTATCCACCTTTTTTTAATAAATTACATTGCTGTTTATCATGTTAATCTATGAAGGAACAAGCTAAACCTAAAGCATATTTCCTTAATAAAAAACATATATTCCCCAAAACTTTGATATTTAGGTTGCAGTTGATATCATTTGTATTATGCACACCATGTATCAATTGTGTAACATTACACACACAATATTCTATAGTTATGCATACACACACTTGCACACACATTGGGGTGCTATTGCAAATGGAAAAACCCACCAGTTACCCTGAGACTAAGATAGGAGGTAAACTAGATCTATCCTGTAAGGGTAATGGGATAAACTGTGGACAGTGTGCCCTCTGAGGCAAAATGTTAGGTGCAACCATTTAAGTTGCTGTCAAATAACTGTTTCAGTCACTGAATGTAGAATGACATGGTCCAGGAGAAGGTTCAGCATAACCCAGGAGGAAATAGGACTTTCCAGATTCCTCTGGAACTTTCTGTTCCTGGATTGATTTTACAGATCTCTACTTCCTGCCTCAAACTTTAATTATGACTACTTGGAGAATACTGATCTTAGCATTACTAGTAAAAATAAAGGTTCTGTATTCAAGAAGAGAACTGTAACACTTAAAGCCACTTCATAATTTCAAACGGATTTAAAAGTATAGTTTTCTCTGGATTAAATTAGAACACTTACTCCATTATTTTTACAGTCTTTTCCAAACATCAAAAGGAATTATCTATGCTTCTTCAATAATTTATATGCAACAATTAGAAGAAAAAAAAACCAGGGCAAAGCATGAAATGCACACAAAATGCTTTTCACGCCATTAAACAGACTCAAAACTGGTTGGTTGTTAAAAGACAATATTTTGGTTTTAGATTACAGCTCCCTAATGAAGCATGGGCCATTGTAGGTAATAGCAGTTGGGTAATGCAAATGTAATACATTTTAAACTGCTTAGTATTTTAAATAAACTATTAAGCTAATTATTATACAAATAGTGTTTATTTCAAAATATTGTCATTTACGCTTTGTAGCCAAATTCTCACAGTTAGTTCTCACTTAACATGCATCTGTACTTCAATCATAATTCCCTATTACTTACTCTTGATATATTAATAAAAGAATATAGTATAGAAAAAACACAATTCAGTGAAGAATAATTCGCAGGGCAGGCTCAGTACTAAAAAATAAAATAAAACTGTGGTGAAGTAGTGGAACCCAAAACATATCATGTGCTGCTACACTTTTAACAAGTGAACAAGTGGGCTAATATTTCCTATTGGGTTCAGATCTACAGGTACTTATTTATGCCTTTCTAAGATGGGTGAAATTCCATTGATGATTTATTCTACACTGTTACCCTGAATTGAAAAACTGAGGAGGAAGGGGTGGCCCATCCAATAGGAATAAGCAAGCCAAAGAAAACTGTAAATCAATTTGGCAGTAGGGCACCTGCGGCATGATTTTAGAGAAGATGCAGCTGTTTCCACCTGTTGCAGGCAGGTGCTATATTTGCACTCCCAGGCCTTATAGATATTGAACATGGACTGTGCAGCCCTATTTATCTGTATACCGCAGGCTCCAAATAAGCAATCTAGTTTTTGCTAATAAAATCAATGCTTGTCTCAAACCTTCCTAGCGTTATTGTTAACCTAGCATTTCATTGCTATGGATACATTTTAACGTACTGTATGTCTTCTTAACCTCGTCACAAAACTCCCACTTCTGTCACAAAGGTAAAAGAAGGTGTCATGTAGAAAATCCTAGGTCCTATTTTAGTACAAATGCTAGGTGAAATGTTAATACAGTATATATTGCTAGTTCATGTATGATATACCATATGCTAAATAAATAAAATAAAAATGCAGACCTGGAATTTCTAAGATTTAAATTTCACTTTCTAAATCAAATAATCTTACTATAAAGGAGATCTGTATAAACCAAAATTTTTTCGTTCCCTCAGACACTGGATGAGAGAAGCAAAGGATCCATGGTTCCTAAGATCTAAATCCACAGGTCTATAGGATTCAGCCACAAGAGAGTGGCTCATCAAAGAAATACTTGGCATGATTCCCTCAAGTGCCCAGGACAGTGTTCTAAAAAGTTATCACAATTTTGTACATGTAATTTTTTACCTTGGGGGAAAGCTTTCTTTTTTATTTGGTGGAAGCTGTTTGCTTGGCCGCCTGAGAGACTGGCTCGTCTGGACCTTCATGGAAGTTCTGGGTGAAGATCGTGCAAAAGGATCTGGTGCTGGAGGCTTTTTGGGAATTTTTTTTCCTAGGCGGTTCACCCATTTTTGCTGTTCCTCTGTAGAATTAGCTAACACTAATAGATTCTTTGCAGTTGAAATATCATAATTCACTGAAATATATTAAAAACAAGTACTTTAGAACCGAATCGTATTAGTACAATACACTGTATTTGAAGAGAAACCATATCTTATTTTGAAAAATAAATGTATTTAATTTTTTTTAAAAAAACAACACATTAAATTACACATTAAACAGCATTTTTGTCCAATCAAAACTAGTCAAGTTGAAAAGGCAGTAGTTTAACCCGATGTGCAACTTTCCAGCTGAAATCGAGGTAGAATTTTAGCAAGATTTTTCATAGCATTAGCCTTTGAACAATTCAGCCAAGTATAGTCAAGATAAGCCATCTAAATTTTATTGGATTCTCTGATGCCACGAGAGAGTGCATTTTGTCTTATTTTTTGCCTGAATGATACAGCCTAATTAAAGGACATCCTTGGCTTTTGTGCATCTCTGTGGTAGATTGCTACAGAATTTGAAAATCTGCATATTCTTCTGGGTCATTTTAATCCTAAGAAATTCTAATCTAACTATGGACTTTGAAATTTTCTAAGCATCAATTTGCAATCAACTTGGATTTTATTTATTTTAAACTTACCTTTAAAGGAGAATATGTGTAGCTCAAGGTTGATCATCACTGATGGAGTTACCTAATTTGGGTAATGAAACATCTGCAAGAAAACAACCCAGCTCAGAGAACGCTAAGGAACGCTCAAAGCTTACCTTTGCAAGGTGCTATTATTTCTTCTTTTTTATCCATGTGATCTTTATGGCATTTGATATGGCAACGGCGACATTCAAGAGCAGGAGGAGGTTTGAACATGTTCCACAAAGGCTTCATGCAAGCTTCACAGTTGGTTGGAAAATGATAAAGGGTAGGTATAAACTCATGTCCCTTGTGGCAAATATAATTTGATTTTTCCCCTGATGATTCTGCAGGAAACTCTTGTTCTTTTTTACTTTCTCCTTCATTATCGTACAGGATCTGGAATTGGGGAAAAAGTCAGTAATACAGATAGAGAAAACATCTATCTAATGACAAAAGATTAATTATGGAAGAGTTTCAAATGCTTCTTAAATATTCCTCCTCCCCACAGTAATTCTTAGCAAGATTTTTCTTCTATTCTTAACACGGGAAAACAGTGGTTTTCACCACCTAATTTGACAGCATGCATATGATTATAATTATTATAAAGTGGTTATAAAATAACTTATTTCTGCTGAAGAAAAAATATGATTCTCAGTAAAAGATATGATGCCTTACAAAAAATCTGGAAAAATTCAGGCAGAAACTGTTTCCCCCACTTTTTTCTTTGCAAGATTTTTTGAGGAAAAAAAAATCCTATAGAACAATTGCCCCTCAGTGTGTTTATTTCAAGTTTGTCTAATAAACATGGCATCTCATCTTTGTCTACATTATATTTGGTTAAAAGTTTTAAAATAGGGATACCTGGAAAATCCTGGGAATATCTTTAGAATCTGCTCTGTACACATCCGTTTGTGTGACAGGTCGAACATGGAACAGTTTGCTATAGTAGCAGAAATGCAGATATGAAACAAAAATGTAAGTTAATTAACCGTGAATCGCTTAAACATGAAGCCTTAATGCAGCAACATTTCTAGAAGTTTTCCCATTTACTTCATAGAGCTCATCTTGGACTTTAAATAAGATTTCAATTGTGCTCTTAATCCAAACTTTGATTTTTAAAGCTTTCTCAAGGTTCCATCCACTTACAATATGTCTGTCTGTAGAATGGTTTTCCCCCATGCATCCATTTTGGATTAATGATCTAAATTTGATTAATGGAATGCTCATTAAAATTTATTAAATTTATGACCATTTAAAATCATAAAACCCTAAAAACACTGTATTTTAATGACACAAATTTCAGATTTGCTAAAGTTGCTCTGCTTTACACAATCGGTTGGTAGAGTATAGTAGAATATTTACAAATTCATCAAAGGGATCTAATTTATTTTAACTAACTCACCATACTGAAAGATGGACTTTGTTGACAGGGTTCCAGAATCACAAAAATATTGACCATATTCAAAACGTAAAAAAAAAAAAATCACAATACTTACTCTATGTCCAGTACCATGTATGGATTGGATTGTTCCTTTTCTTGTTCATTATGATAGAATAGTATCTTCTTGCTGCTGACTATAATATACTGTTAAAGAATACAAATATAAGTATAAATTGCAAATTGGTTTTATTTATATAATCAAATTTTGTATGGCAACTTTTTGACAAAATGAAAATATGTAAAATGTTATTTTAATAAGGAAATGTAAGGACCAGGTATCTTCCAGTCTGGCTAGTCAAAATATAAGAGAATAGCCTCTCTTCCTACAAAACATATTTCATCTTAAACTTCAAACAAAATATCCTAGTTTTTAGTTATTTATTAAATATATTTCTATGCCACTGCAATAAAAACAACTATCAGCAGTTTCCATAGAAAAAATATAGCATGAAACCAGTACAAAAAATTTAAAATACAACAATGTACAATGTATAAATGAAATTTTAAAAAAATGAGAGGATAAGTAACTTGATACTTGCATAAGTTTTGGGCAACAATCGACATATTACCTTACCACTCATCTCTAAGTTAGGACAACCTAAAACTAAACATCTGGATGGAGGGCTGTTGTGTACCTTTTTCCGCTGCACAGCTTTTGAAAATTTTCTAAGCTCCTACACCTAGCACTCCCCACTGAAAATTTACCCAAGTAAAAGAAAGTCAACAAACAAAACTAAAAGACAACTCTCTCTGATTGTGTATGCTTATCTCATAGCACAATAGCTACAAGATAATAGCTTCTTCACTAATAGCTTCTTATGCTATTAGTGAATCAGTCTTTGACTGTAATACATAGCCAGGCTCATAATTTCTTAAAAACAGCACAATTGCAGAAACAATGGTTTGATTCTTTTGTTTTTGAATAGCACCTAGTGGTGCATATCATGTCAAAGTAACATCCTAAAAATTGTATTATTTACCTTTTTTACCCAACCAAATTTCTTTGTGTTGTTTCTAGCAGGCAATGATAGCCATCCTTCAAGTCGTGACTCTGAAAAGGATTGAATTAATTTTTTAAAACAGTATTATACAGATATCCCATTGTTTTAATGTTATGTCTCATTAAGAAAAATGGCATTTATTACACGTTGTATTAACCTATAAACTTACAAGCAATAAAACAGCTGAAATTTACAAGCAAAACAAGCGACGTTCTCTTACAGTTATGCCACATCATGTAACGATGTCACATTCTTATTAGTAAATATATTATGGCCCAGAGCAGAAACATAAAAAGCATTATTATTGCTGCCTTCCACTCATTTTTACAAAAAATTAAACACAGCACATATTTTGTATTGGAAGATACCCTGCAAGGGTTCTCAGTGCAACATCTGGCTGGTCTTCAGCTTGGGAAGTTGAATAAAGCCACCTGATTATTAGTTCAATACAGAAAATTAAAATACTTTCCTGTTTGGAAGAGAGCAATTAGGTTTCAGGATTGCAAGGAGCATCATATTTAATGTAGAGAGTGTAGTGTGCTTTCTTCCAAAAACAATTACACCAATTTTTGTTTAACATTATTATTTAGGATAAAGCACATTAAAATCAAATAAGCATGTCTGACTTCTTTAAGGAATTGTTGCTTTTATAGATCTTTCTCAAAGTGCAGCACTGGAAATATAGTTGGAATTTAAAATGTACTGAATTTTAATTGGAGAGATATTAATATTTAAACTGGATAAGAAGAATTTTTATTTTATTATAAAAAACTGATTTTAAGTTGGACGTGTTTTGCACAATTATGTACTAATGATTGCTAAGATGCATAAATTAATCTTGCAAATGAGTATAGAAGACTAATATATTTAAGACATGACCAAAACTTTGGTAATAACATAATACTTGATCAACTAGAGAATATGTGGAGTAAAGGACTGAAATTTGCATGGAATTATAACTTGAATGAGGACTTTTGTAAGATGATGTACCATAAAAGATGTATATGGAAGTGTCAAATATATGTTGGAAATACAATCAATGTGAAGGTACTTTTTATCATCTTTGGTAAATATGTAAAAAAAGCTAAGGAATATCCAGATATATATACTTTTTATATATATCTAGATCAGATATTTACTTTAATTCAGAGAATTCTTAAATGTACAATTGAAACCAGGGGGTTTTTCTTTTAAGCTTGAGGGACAAACAGATTTAAAAAAAAGAAACATCATGGAACTCATATATGACAATAGCAAGACCTCACTATATGCAAAGATGGAACGACTCAAATATGTCCAGAATGGTAGAATGGATGGTGAAATTATTGGAATTGGTGGAGATTGTGAAGCTGACTGGTTTGATTAAAGAAAACACTTTACCTAACTCCCTTTCTACTTGGGAGCCACTCTTGGATTTTTTTTGTTTGAAATTGAAAGAAATGAAATTTTAACCTTGGATTTTGATGATTAGACTTGTTTAAGATGATAAAAGTACTGTCTGTTATGGTTTATTCTAGTTCAAAGAATCATTGATTTTTACATTTTTATCTGTATTGATGAAAGGCAGAAATTACTTTTTTTGATAGCTTTTTTGTTCTCCAATTTTGTATTCTCCAATTTTGCTTTTTTCCTACCCCCTTTCTCTTTCTAATTATTTTTTCTCTATTTTTTTGCATTTTATACTTTTTTGACATTTAATAAATTTTTTGGGGGGAAAGGTTGAGGGACTGGGGCACAAAGACTTAAATGAAGAAGATTTGGATAAATATGTATTTAGATGCAATTTATTTATTTTTCATATTTTTGAACTGCCCATCTGCCTCAGAAAGTGTATAAAAAGAGTGTATATACACTCTGGATAGTGTATAAAAAGTCACAAAAATCTTGGAGAATATCCTCTTACCATGTCCTTCTATTTCTTAAAGATACAGAGCGATTTCTGAGGAGAGATACATGATTCTAGTTCGGGAGGGATTTTTTTGTTGTTCAAAATCTGAACACCCTTGCCATAGTACATAATCTGAAAAAATTTCCACCACCACAATCTAAGTCTAAATTTACTCATTTGGCATTTAAATGACTGTATTGAAAGAGTTTTCATAATAAAGTCTCAACTTGGACTTTGAGTTTTTGGAGAGAGTGAAATATTACAGAAAGTGTGACAGTTTGAAAAACACAAAGCTACAATTAGATGGACTAATTTAATCTGCACTTCTAATTGAAATTTCCCCTCACAAAATGGTCAGATCCTACCATTTCAGTGAAACAATTAAAGCTTGCAGTAAGGGCCTCATTTATACAAAATACTGTAGGTTAAAATGTATTAGAAATATGGATCTGCAGATAAAGGGAAGACATGCATATCTCATGCACCTACATGAATGCAACATCCACAGAATCTAAGATTAAAGATTAAGATTAGTTGCTGCTGCTTTCTCATGCGGGACATTCCTCCTTGGTATCTACTGTCCTCAGTGTTAGTAATGGAAAATAGGCAACAGCGTTTCATCACTACACATTTTCTGGAAGGTCACCTGGATCGTCAGGTTCTGAAGGGGGTTGTGCAGAAGACACTGGTTCTTCCTCAGAGTCAGAATCAGAATTGAGAAACACACAAGAGCTGGAAGGTTTAGTAGCAATACTGACAGAGGTGGAAGAGCGTTGGTAGGTAAAAGACATAGATTCTGAAGTGTGGGACTGAGTGATACGAACTAAGCACCCAACAGAAAGAGGAGGGGGGGAAATGCAGAAAGGATTAATGAAGAATAGTTTAAAAAAAAAAAAAAAAACCTCACAACTGCTGATTTTGAAATAGAATAATGCAACAGATCTGGATTTGCCTAAGAACTATAACCTACTTTTGACTTATTCAAAGGTAGCCTGATGAGAAAGGGTTAAAAATTTTAACAACAGAAGGATGGAGAGATGACATTCCCAATTGTAACTTCCCAAAATAGAGAGTCATTAATTGTAATATGTCTCCTTTTCTTCCAAAAAAAGAGAAGGACGAATCTTACCAGGGAAACTATCATCCGTTTCTACTTCACCAGGGCCACATATGCTGCTGTTGTCTAGGCCAATATGTATTGTTTGGAGCTGACACCGAAGCTGTTCTATGTCGCTATCTTTGCTGTCCAGAGCCATTTGTAGTTCGATTCGTATCTGGCTCTCTTCTGCTATTTGCTGTAAAAAGAGATTGACGAAGCACAATCAGAATTAATCTTTAATGCATGATAAAGTCTTGCTTACAAAGATGGTTCTGACAGCAATCTCTTAACTCAAACCACTAAAAGCGAACTACCATGGGATTTGAAGAAAATAAAAACAATTAAATAGCTCCTATTTCAGTACAGCTGGGTGATATAGTGAAATTGGGAGACTAGAAAAAAAGTGAGACAAAGCTCCTCAGATGTTTTAAACTATCATCAATGCCTGCCTCATAACCACCAGTATCACTCGCCACTGGAAGGATATTAGATTGTGAGACGTTCTCTAATGATTTTCAAGAATACATGAAAAATTAAGCTAAAGAATAACTATGTCAAATAAATGTGTAAATAGCTGAAACTTTCATGTAGATATTTTTACTATCATATAAGATACTTACAGCTTGCATTTCATTGATTTCTTTCTGATATTTAATCATCATCTGAGTTAATTTTTCCCGTTCGGTTTTCAACTCCATATGCAGTTTCCTGTTCTCCTTTTCTTTTCTTCGGACATCTGTGTCAGCTCCTCGTTGGATGGGATTTTTTCGATTCATAACTTCTGCTAACTTATTCACAGCCTGATTATAAAAAAATAATAAATGGGCTTCTTTTTTATGTTATTAGAATTGAATACATCCCCGTCTCTCCATTATTATCGCAGTGATAACTATGGTCATTTTCTCATTTATACATTACCTGTGTTTTCATTGTTCTCTCATAAGCCAGCTGTTTCTCAAACTGAGTCCTTAGCAATCCAAGATCATTTTCTTCTTCATTCAGATGGGCAAGCCCTGTCAATAAATAACAAAATAGGTAGCACTTGTGAAGCTAACATGAAATCAAACGCTTTCATTTTTAAATTTAAATACTCACTTTCTTGAATTTCCTTCAGTTTGTTATTCAGCTCTTCCTTTTCATTTGCAAGGTTTGCCACATCACTAGTCAAAGTTCTATTTGCTTCTTCCAACTAAGATACAGAAATTATAAGAAGTGTCAGTCACAGAAGAGAAACAAGCCAACCAAGCACTTAAGTAGGAGTTGAGATTCCAAGTGAGGATGGGGGAAGGATCGGGGAGGAGGCAGAAGCTCCCAGCAAAGGAGCTCATGGCAGCGGTGTGGGAAGCAGACAAAAAAAGAAGTTTAAAAAAAGGATTGTAAGGGAAACATATCTAACAGTAGTAGAGTCTAAAGGTAAAACTAAGAAACAGGGCTGAAAACATTTAGCACAGCTTGAATTTAGAAAGGGAAATCACTTGCATCAGAAACCATCAGCACATCTATGCTAGAAAAAAATGTTTAAACTAGAATCCCTCTAAACTACTTAAAAATATACTGTGCTCTCAAAACATTATTATACACTCTGATGATCATATAACACAAGTCCTGAAATCTACAAAAGGTCCTATTGCAAACTCTTGTACAAAGAAATTAAATTTATGGTATGGAACATTTCTGATGCCATAGTACGTCTAGCCAAATTCAGAGCCAAAGCATCAGTGACTGCAGTGTAACATTATACTTGGTATATTTATGGGGCAGTCTGTAAATAAGTTTGGTCCCTGGAGGTTTTAAGTACTGCTATTTGTTGCAATTTCTCATGCAGTTTTTTTTTTTAAAAAAAACCCAGGAATGCTTCATGTTCAAGGGACAAATTTGTACAGATTGACAAGCCTACGATTCGAGTCTTGTCGAATCACTTTGCTGTTTCGAGTGAATCACTTACTGATCCTATTGTGGCATCTTTTTCAGCAAGCTCCTGTTTGTGCCTTGCCATCATTTCTTTGATCTCCAGTTCTTTCATGATCTTCTCTTTTTCCAGGTCAGAATACTGTTCCTCAGCAATAGAGCGAGCCAACTGTTCGGAGTCTGCCTTTGTTAATGTGATCTCCAGTTGTGCTGCCAAGGAATCCCTGTAATAAATTAGTATGAATTAAAATTAGTATCATAATAAATTAGTGTTATGGCCGAAGATGCTTTATAGGAGTTTTCTTACTGGCTACTATTATTCAAGCTATCATCGTCTCACCTCTCTTCTTGCAACTCTTGTATCTTTTGCTGTATTTCTTTACAAAGTTTGGCCTTTTCTTCACATTCTTCTTTAAGTTCCCGAACTTGTGTTTTATACAGCGTCTGAAATGTTTTACAAGAGAACAGCAATATAGATATTATAGCTTTGGTGCAACCAGATCAATGGAAAAAAGTTGTGTTAGAAAAACTGCCCGTTTTAATTTAAGATAAGGAATCTTCATAACATTTTTGCCAGGATTAAAATATATGTAAAACAAGGATTTGTCAATATTACCCACAATGACCAGATAAATATCAGTTGTCAATATTATAAATAGTCAAAGCTATCAAATATTCTACTTGAGTAAATTAATCCATATATTAATAGTTATTATTGTAAAGGTTTCCCTTATGCAGTCATTTCCAACTCTAGGGGGCGGTGTTCATCTCCGTTTCTTAGCCAATGTTATCCATAGATACTTTCTGTGGTCATGTAGCCAGCATGACTATACATATATTGAAAATAAAATATATTAGGAATATGACAACCAGTATGATGTAATGATTAATGACCCAGACTAAAAGTGGGAAAAGCCCTTCAACTGAAGAGACCTTCATCCTTCAGTGTATTGATTTGGGCTGAGATGGTAATAATAGGATTGTTACATTTTTCATGTCAGCAAGTCATACCACTGAGCTAACTTTGATTTTCAAAAGATATTCAGGGTTGGACCTAACTAATATCTGGAGAGATTTTTATCAGGCTGATAAAAAGGCAATGTTTTATTATTGCCAAAGAACCAAACTGAATAGGAAGTGAAACTTGCGGATATGAAATAAATCTAGTAACTTGAGGGGCACCACAGTATCTCCATGCTGATAATGGTGCTTTATGCACTTATGAAAAACAGTATGTGATATGATACTAGGCCAAATTTTTAGAAAAATATAATGCACAGTGACTAATAAATCAACAAATCCCAGAATATTTACAACTGTGTGATAAACACAAAAGATACATAAGGCTTAACACTTATAAACATAATATTGAGTATGTTAATATTTTACATACCGAAAAATATTGTTCTGCTTCAAGTTGGTCTTGAATTTCCTTCATCTGCCCATCTGCATCTTGACGCTCTCTGACAAAGAATAAGATAAATGCAATTTTAAAGTAATACTACTTCCATGACAAATGTTGCTGGAATGGACTATTATCTTCCTCCTTCTTGATTGCCAAGGCCGAGTAAAAAAAGTTAATCTTTTCAAAGTTTTGTCAGTTCACACTTCATTAAATGAGGAATTCGAATTCGAAGGAAGACAATGAGACTATTGGATGCTTGCAGAGGGGAAGAGGGTATTACTCATGTTCTTTCAGATTCCTTGCTATATGATATCGGTCAAGAACTATGGTTGCAGGACTGTCTGACCCAAATGCACAAATTCCTTCTTTAAGACATAAAGTAAATACAAAACCTGCTTTAATCTTTTGGATAGTTTTGCACATTCTGGATTTTCTGATTTATTTGGACTAACTGAAGGTACAGTTTCCTTTAGCAGAAAGGGCAGGCAGGGCCTATTATGTTGTTGCTTCACCATTACCCTCAAGAAAAGAAAACCAGAAGCTAGCTCTGGAAAGAAGATTTTCCCTTTCACTCAGGACTGACTAAAGATAGTCCTTGCTTTACAACCAGAATGGAGTCTGGAATTATGACCGTAAATCATTCTGGTTGTTAAACAGGTCACCACATGACTACACCCAATTTTATGACTTCTATAGCAGCAGTCGTTAAGCAAATGCCATGGTTGCTAAGCGAATATTGTGATTGTTAAGGAAACCCATTTTAGCCAATGGATGTTTTTCTGGCAAACTGCAGTCATGGGAACTGCAAACAGTCTGGCGTAGGTTACTTGCCAAGCACCAAAAATACAACCATGTGACTGGGGGGCGGGGGGGGGGCGGCGGCAGGGAGGAGAACGGTTGAAACCAAGTTATAAGTAGCACTGGGGAAAACTGTCATAACTTCAAAGTTTGAACAGGTTGCTAAGTGGCCAATCATAAGTTGAGGATTATTTATATTTGGCCCCAGACTGTTCCTTATTCTTGTCTTGTACCTCTCTTGCTGTTTTGGCTGAATAGTAGATCTTGAGTCTCCACTTCACCTCCTACCTAATCCTTATTGGGCTGAAAGAAAAAGAGGGAAACATAACAAATCCTATCTGTCTACCAAGCACAGTAACTCTTTAGTTTTTCCTGGACAGGATCAAGTGAAGTGATTTTCTGTTTGTTGCAGCATGAAGAAAAGTTCTCTTTATGATATGAGGTAAAAAAAAAAAAAGACAGAGTTTTCCTATTTCGTTATACTTGGATGGATGTTCCCCAAGCACGAACAGACTGGGAGACACACCTTCCACCTGTTCCTACATGGGGAAATAAATGACCTCAATGGATGGACTTTGTCCTGAAATGTCCTTTGTTGTCCTAAAGCTCCACCTCTGACTTTATCTGGCCTACAGGGCTGATGAGGGAACAAACCCAGATTCTTTTTATTCCCTAAGCAGATGCACAGCCACAGAATTGCCTATGTTGATGAGGTTTTAAAGTCAATTTTTCCATAGCAATTTATGATACAGTTACATGCTAACTAGGACTCAGAAGGAGCAAAAGCAAAATATCAAAAAAAGAAAAAATTCATTATTGAGATTTTATTGTTATTTTTTTACTTATGGCTATGAACTAAAGTAACTCCCCCGTATATCTGTAGAATATCCCTATGTCCCTGTGAAACACCCTACCCTCAGAGGTGAGAACTGCTCTCACCCTTTCAATCTTCCCAAAGGGTGTTAAAACTTGGCTTTGGGCCCCTGAGGGGGTACTCACTGGAGGTGGCTGATGGGGTAAGAAGACCTCATCCCCATGCTCGCCATCTCTAGGGCCTACTTTTTGAATAATTTTAAATTTGCATATATTTAGTATTTTAATTGCTTTTATATTTATGTTTTTATGATCTGTAAGCCGCTCATTTGCCTGATAGGGGAGATGGATGGCATGTAAATTTAAGAAACAATAATAATAATAATAATAGTATCAACACTGCTGAAGAATTGATTGAAACCCTATGTGTATACCAGAATTTAGCATTCCACAGCTCAGTCTTGAGTCACAATCAACTGTAATGGAACAGAATATTTATTGCTGAAGGGACTTACTTGCGTAGCTCATTATTTTGCTTTTCTAGGCTTAGTTTAATTTCAATAAGATGGTTATTCTCTTGTTTTATCTGCTTCTCTGACACCTTCAGTGCATTGAACTGCTGGCTTTGCATTTTGAAATCATTTTGGATGAGGCAGCGCTTTTGCGTTTCTTGTTCAATTTTCAATGTCAGATTATCCACCTGCAAAACAGATTGATACTTTGTAGATAGACTTTTACGACCACACGCATGGAAAATAACATATTTCATGCTTGTGTAATTACATGATGTCAATTTTTTAAATAACTGGACAATCCTTCTTGAATACCAGCTGCTTTGAAATATAACCTAATGGTCTTATATAAAGAGTAGTTTTAGTCAAGGATTTTCTCCTAGTTTATTGATTTTTGTTCCAGCTGCAGAGTAGGATAAATTGTCTCTAAACAGAAACTGTAAACGAAAGCTTTACAGCTGTAATGGAAGATTTTATTACAAAATTAATATTCCATTTCTAATTGAAAGCCAGTCCCATTCTCTAGTCAAACCTCAAGAGTCCTGTAGGTGTGTCCTTTCAGTCTTAAAGCCCAATTTTATAGAATTGTCAATGCCCAGTGGGACTTATACCCAAGACTAAGTTTAAGTCATTTTTATCATGCATGATTTGAAAGCCAGTATAATCAGTATTAAACACTCTACCTTGAATTGGAGAATTTTGAAACAAGTAAATGAAAATGTGTATTCGAAACAACACATTAATATTCAATAAAGTATTTTAGCACTATAGGAAATGAAGGTGGCAATTTGTAATGTGAAGCCAAATATTTTGATTAACATTCCCTGAAGTGCAAATAGCTTTTGTTTTTCACTTAAAAATTTCACATTTCAAATTACTTATAGAACGGGGGAATAAGACCCCAAAATATTCCATGTAGGAATACAATATACCTTTAGCTTACACCCTAAAATAAATATGCCTGATTTTTAACCTTTCCCAGTGCTGCACCCCCTGACCCCATGCTCAAGTTCTGTGATCATCAAAAGGGGCACCATGGAGCATGATGTGCTGCTAGCATTTGACAAAGAAACGAAGTACAGGTAGTCCTCGAGTTACAACCATTCATTTAGTGACCATTCAAAGTTACAACAGCACAGACTTATGACCATTTTTTGCACTTACAACTGTTGTGTCACATTATCAAAATCGAGACACTTGGCAACTGACTCATATTTATGATGGTTGCAACATTCCAGAGTCATGTGATCCCCTTTTGCAATCTTCTGACAAGCAAATGGGGAAGCCAGATTCACTTAACAACCATGTCAATAACTTAACAACTACAGTGATTCATTTAACAACTGTGGTAAAAAAGATTGTAAAATGGAGTAAAACTCACTTAACAGCTGTCTCACTTAGCAACAGAAATTTTGGGCTCAATTGTGGTTGTATGTCGAGGACTAACTGTACATACTCAAAATTACCTATAGAACACTTTGGATTCATTGATTCCCTCAATCTAGTCCACACTTGGTTTTGATAAAAAGTTAAGTAAATATCAATTATAAAAGTGGAACAAAAACGTAGATCTTTATAGGGAATTATTTATCATAACTGTAACAAAAGATGGGGAAAGCTGTAAGTAGATGTAGTGTAGCAAACATTAAAACTGATTTTTTAAAAAACAGTTTATACTTACATCTTCACTTAGTTTATCTTTCTGCTTAAGCAACTCGTTTATTTTCTGCTGGGATTGCTTCAGATCGCAGTCCAAGATAGAACACCGCTTTTCAACCTCCAGTAAACAATTTTCTACTTTTTGCTTTGTAATTCTTTCTTCTGAAAGTTTCTTTTCCATTTCTGTGAAAGGAAAAAACCCAGCTATTTTGCTATTTGGAAATTCATATTTGCATATAGTACACTATTGTTATAGATAGATAGGTAGAACTCTTTATTGGCCAAGTGTGATTGGACACACAAGGAATTTGTCTTTGGTGCATATGCTCTCAGTGTACATAAAAGGAAAAAAAATACATTCATCAAGATTCCATTACAAGATGGTGCCGCCGAAGGCTGCCTCAGTGAAATGCTCTCTAGTAAACTATTGTGTTGATCATGTCCAGCTATAAAATGTGCTTAGAATAGGAATCCCAGAGCTTTTCACTATCCTCATGCCAATCCTATATAGAGGTCAGGAAGCCACAGTACAGAGAGAACACAGGAAAACAGACTGGCCCCAGGATGGAAAATGAATGAGACAAAATTGTATACTCTACTTTATTTATTCAACCTATGCGCTGAATATATATGAAAGGAAGCTGGTTTGGAAATAGCCAAGAGCGGTTTTAAAACCAGAGAAAGAAGCATCAATAACTTGTTCCATGGCTGAAATGCAAAGGATCTGCAAGTTCTAGTAATAAAAGTCAAAGAGCATAGTGCAAAAATGACTAGAATTAAATATTAAAAAGGCCAAACTAATCACAGCAGGTAAAAGAACCAGCATTAGAACTGACAGTGAAGAAAAATACTGAAGTGCTGGATAGCTTGTCTTTTTGGACTGATGATAACCGTAAAGCAGTGGGTCTCAACCTTCCTAATGCCGCGACCCCTTTAATACAGTTCCTCATGTTGTGGTGACCCCCCAACCATAAAGTTATTCCATTGACCATTGAAAATATGTGTTTTTGGATGGTCTTAGGCGACCCCTGTGAAAGGGTCGTTCGACCCCCAAAGGGGTCCCGACCCACAGGTTGAGAACCACTGCCGTAAAGGATCCATCAGTCAAGAAATATGTCACAGATTAGTGCTTGGCAAAGCAGCCATGAAGGCCCTGGAAGGCCCTGGAAAAGATACTCAAATGCTCTGATTTGTTTACCCATGATGGCGAACCTATGGCAAGCATGCTGGAAGTGGCACGCTGTTGTGGCCCCGCCCTCTGAGCCTGTCCCATCGGAGGAAGAAAGCTCCGAGCATGAGGAAGAGGAGTCAGCCAGGCCTCCCTCTCCAGGCCCCTCCCCTCTGGCATTGTCTCAGGTGCCGGCCGAGGGAGAGGAGATCAGTAGGGAGACAACTGGCTCGGATCAGAGTGACAAAGAAACATCATTCCTGGACGCACGCCTCCGAAGGCGTGATAAACATTTGCAGCAGCTTAGGAGGCGTGCTAGGGATTAGAACTGAGTCACTGGACCACACCCCAGAGACTATATAATAGAGGGTAGTGGTCAGTGATCCTTGTGACGAACAAAAGTAAACCTTGGATAGTCACTAAAGCCTCATTCGGAACTGCGGAGAGAAATATTATTTCTGCTTGGACTTTTTGCACATTAAGTACCTTATCTGTCTGTTTGTGAAAATAAAGGCATTTGGCAGACGGTGTGTCTATCGCTGCCAAGTGGTAGATAAGACCTGGGTGCGTTTCAAAGTGTTTCCTTAACCCTCGGCTGGCTGTGTTTGTGTGTGTGTGGGTACGGGGACAGATCACACGCAGAGCCATCTCTTCGGGCACGCCAGCCGTCGCCCATTCTGGGTTCTGGCCTGGTCTTCGCGCGTGCGGGAGCACCGTAATCTGGAAGAGCAGCTCCCCGGTGCACCGGGAAGCTGAGCTTCTGCTCTCCAGCATGCCTATGCATGCCAGCCAGCTGGTCTTTGTGAGCGCATGCGTGCCAGAAACCAGAAGACCTTTCAGTTTCTGCTCTTCCGGTTTCTGGTGCTGCTTTCCAAATGCTCTTCCAGTTTCTGGTGCTCCTGCACATGCGTGCTGGGGAGCTGCTGTTCGGGTTTTTGGTGCTCCCCTGCCCGCACGTGCTCCCGTTCGTCAACACTGGTCTATACCTATAAAAATTATAATGGTGCAAACAATGGTATTCTTTGTGACACTCCATGAAAGTGAAAGTTGGGCTTTGAAGATGCAGGATGGGAAAAATATATATATATTTGAACTCTGGTGTTGAAAAAGACTCCACAGAACACCTTAGACAGACAAGAAAATAAACCAAGGGATCACTGAACAAGTCAACCAAGAGTTCTCATTTAAGGCACAAATGACCAGACTCAAAATTATCCTACTTTGGACACATCATGTGAAGATTTAGGAAACTGGAGCAGGCTCTAATGATGGGAAAGGTGGCAGGAAAGAGAGGAAGAGGATGGACAGCAACTAACAGCAAGATGGACTCAATTGCAGTGGCATAGGTAAGCTGTTGGAAGACTTAAAGAACTAGATTAGGGGCAGATTATTATGGAGAAAAATTATGTGATCGCTAATAGTTGACTCCGACTTGATGGCACATAGACCAATCAATCAAACAAACAAACAAAACAAAGTTTTAAATTAAGATTAGCTTCTGGGTTATAATAGTGAAATATATTGATTTATATAGGTAGGTCTTTCTCAATTTTCCTTCTGTTCCTGAACTGACTGTATAACCTTAATCAAATAATTATTTCTCTGTGGAGTCATCCTGAAGCTAAACTGTCACATTCATGTTTTTGAATAGGAGGCTGAATATAAATATGCTAAATGAAGTTATGAACATGTGAAATTAAATGCATACCTTTCATAGCTTCAGACTTAGCTTCCTCAATCGATTTATATATTTTATTTTTGTCTGCTAGTCGGGCTTTTGTTCCTTTATGTTCAACCTCTTCTTGCTCCAAGTTTTGTTGCATGACTTTAAGCTTGTAAGTCATATCTATTTCCATGTTGCTCTTCTCCTGTTAGGCATAAATCAAAATATCTCATAATTAATATGAACCTCATGTAAAATGCTTTATGGGAACTATTGGTTATAGACAGAAAAAATGTAGGCTTTGACCTAGGTATTCAGTCTGCTACTTCAATTATTATGCAAGCAAGCTGATATTAAAACTATGATGACAAGCCTAATATGAGATGATAAAAGTCACTGATCAAGGCAGAGTGTTAAATTGGATAGAAACCAAAAGAAAGAGTGATGTACATAGAGAATGAGGATACCCCTCCCCACACACACACACATACACAAACACATCTGGTTACATATAAAATTTTGTTTTTCTAATAGTATTCTGGCATGGATAACTATGCAACTCTGCTTAATCTAGTTACAATAAATCCCTCCCAGCTTCTCCCTAAAATTTACAATCAAGATACAGTTCATTAACATGGATGTGCAAAATGTTTTGCCCTCACAATAACTATTAAAAGTATTCTGAAGATTTTATTTAAACCTCAATATAAAACTTGGATATTTCAAGTTTCCTAGTTTCCTTTAGCAAATAAGGACATGTTGATGTGAAAGTAAAATGTTGACAGGGAAGGTAACCACATGGCCAAATACAACATGACTGTTTACAGCTGTATGTATGCCATTCTGTCTCTTAAGTTACTGCGATTTTTAAAATTGTTACAAAAAAATAGAGAGATTCTGTGGGTAGATTGCTGTTAAGAGTTCATATTGGCATGTGTGTTATGTTACTTTTACTTTGCAGTTGGAAACTGCAAATATGTGTGCATGCTTTAGTATGTTTTACAAGCACACAATGTTATTGCTATTGAGGTTTCGTAAATGCTCAGACTATCACAATCTAGGCTTGGTTGATCTGTCTAGTCTTGGGACACAAATGCATTGTGTGCATGGACTTACGCTTCAAGCCTGTTGCTGTTCTTGAACTTTATTTAAAAACTGTTGCTTTGAGATTTTTGGCAAATTCTGCTGCCTTCTGCAGTCCTTGCACTGCATTTCATTTTGGCTTTTATTTTGTTCCAAGTTCAAAGCAAAGATGTTATGAACCCAATATTCACGGAAAACCACCTAGTTCACTCTGTGTGGTTAGGATTCAAAATCTGGGCATTCATGTGGCATCTGTCAATAACTCTTTACAGAAGCTGCATCTTTTCCAAACTGGTGTAGCTTGATTAGAGGAGCTACTGACTCCGAATCATGTTTTCCCCTTCAAATCTGGAGTGCTGTAGAATTCTATTTGTAATGCTATGAATAGGACCTTATTTTATTAGCTCAACTGAACAATATAATTCTTTTTTTTTAAGTTTACCTTTTCCAGATCTGTCAATTTGTCCTGTAATTGTCTTTTCTCTGCCTCTATTTTAGCTATTGTATTCTTCCCATTTTTTACTTCTTCTTCCAAATTAAGCACTCGACCTAGAAATATTTAAAAGATTTCAACAAGGAAAAAAGCATTATGTACATATCAATTAAAGTGTAACCCTTTACACGCTTTGATTAAAAAATCAAATCATTGATGATATATTCTGAAGGCAGAAGGAAAGTGAGAATAATTAGCTGATTCCTGTGAATGTTGATAAATTACATATTTAATACATCTAAAATCCCAATTAAAATGGATAATCACAGTAAATGGCCCCTATGATATGAAAATCACTTTCTAAGAGACTGGTTTTCATACCTTGTAGATCATGGATAATTTCTGATCCATTATTCCTATCTCTTCTTTCAGATTCTAGTGCTGACTGCAGATTCAGAAATTCCTTCTCCAGTCGAAGCTTTGTATTCTCTAAGGCACAGTTTTTATCCTGCAGATCTCTGTTGTTAGCTTCTAGCTGCTGAATTTGCTTTGTACTTTCTGTTTGGTTCTTTCTCAACCTGGCTGATGTATCAGACTCCGTGCGCAGCAAGGCATTGGCTTCATCCAGCTATTGAGACACAAAAATACATCACAGCATTACATACAAACTAAAAAAAAAAAAAAGCTTTTTTTAACAGACACTACCATCCATTTACTGTAGTAAAGCGTAACATAGTTTTTAATTATGAAGTTACTCAGAAATTAAAAGTCTTAACTAAGTACCATTAGGAGTCTAATTTAAAACAGAATGGTAACTTGCCTGTCTTTGTAGCTGAGTAATTTTTTCATTTGATATTTGGGAGTTTTGATTCCTCTTTTTCATATCCTCAAGTTGATCCTTTAAACTGTTCACTGAAAGAAAAACAAAGCACTAATCCCACCATACGGGTTTCATAACAGTATGTCACAAGTTATTCCAAGCAGCAAAGGCAGAATGGGATTTATCAATGCTCTTCTCCCTAATGCAGAGGTGGTATTTAGCAGGTTCTGACCAGTTCTAGAGAACCGGTAGCGGAAATTTTGAGTAGTTCGGAGAACTGGTAAATACCATCTCTGACTGGCCCCGCCCCCATCTATTCTCTGCCTCCCGAATCCCAGCTGATCGGGAGGAAATGGGGATTTTGCAGTAACCTTCCCCTGGAGTGGGGAGGAAATGGAGATTTTAAAGTATCCTTCCCCTGCCATGCCACACCCACCAAGCCATGCCCACAGAACCGCTAGTAAAAAATTTTGAATCCCACCACTGCCCTGATGCCACAAATAATGTAGGTTTTTTTTTTATTGTTTCTGGTGAACATACCATCGTTTTCTAGATTGCGTTTTCTATCTGCTTCGTGTTCTGCCTTCCGCTGGTATTCTGCATTCTTATGCTGAAGAAGAGCCTTTTCCCTTTCCAGCTGTCTGAAAGAAGATTCTAAATGTTTCCTTGAAGATGTCTAGGAAAATCATGGAAGAAGAGAAACATGTGATGGGGACATTTTTCTAAAATTACAGTAAGGAGTCCAACAAATTTTCTTAATGCAAAAATCAAAAACATTTCTCATTCGACTGCAGCAAATATACAATATAATGCTCAGCAGATGGGATCGTGCCAAATTGCTTCCAAACAGCGGAGCAGTCACACAGTTCCATGTGTTAGAGCGCTAGGGTTTGAAAGCATAAAAGCAAGCAAAATGGATTTCTATCTAAACAAGCAATAGAGGGAGTCCTCCCTTAACAACAGCAGTTGGAATCAGAATTTCTGTTACTAAGTGACATGGTCATAAGGCATAACTTCATGCAACAGCACGGCTTAGCAACAGCAATTCCAGCACTTTTGGTTGCTGTCATTAAGTGAACCCTGCAATGTTGTTAAGCACATTATGAGGTCACCATTTGCAACCTCCAACCAGTTTCTCCATTGACTTGTTGAAAGCCAGCAATGAAAATCGTAAATGGCGAAAAAGTGAATGGGAGTGTTGGACCATTGTAAGTACAAGGACTGGTTATAAGTCCCACTTGTCCAGTGCTGTCGTAAATCTGAATAGTTGCTCAACGAGTGATTGCTAAATAATTGTCAGTTCTCTTAAGAATTCTCTCTGTTAATATAATGTTTCATATAATTCATTCTGAATGATCAGCCTCATTGTTAGAGGATGCAGAAGACTGATACTAGAAAAGATTATCAGGAAAGAACTCAACTTTCTCACATTTGTCTGGTTTGCACAGTGTATGAAAATATAATCCACAATATATAGACTACAAAGGCCAGACTCAGGAAACATACTGAGTCAAAACCAAACAATCTACAATGTAACAGAGCATGTTATATGGACCTTGTACTGCATTTTTAAAAATTGCAGATAATGGAGGTTTACTTGCACAAGCCGTCTCTAGCATAAGTAACAAAAATCCTACTATAGTGAGACCTAGTTCATCGACACAATGATTGATGGTTCCCAAGGTATAAAAGACAGAGAATAATCAATTTAGTGTACTTGATTTTCAGGATTGGCTACATCACTAATACCAAAAGAGCTATTTGGCTGGATAAAAAATACCTCCTTTAAACTGACCTTGTCTACTAGAGGCTTTATAGGCAGGTCCATGAAACAAGAATGGCAAGAATGCAGAAAAAGATCTGCCACTGCCTTATTTTGCTATGTTTTTCGACTTCCTTGTGTAGCCATGGAGAATCCCATCAAAGCACTAGCGAGGGCCATCCCTTCTTAGCTTCTGAGCCCAGATAAGGCCAGCTAAGTATTGCCACGCAGCTGAGAGATTGAACTGCCCCATGGTACATTGCGAAGAGGACCTTTGCCTAGTTCTCATTAGTAAGCAAGCGTCCAAAAGCTAAATATCACATAAAAGATTGGCGTTTACTTGACTTCCTACCAAAAAACAACAACAGATAAGCTGGGACTGAGGAACATCTATTGTATGCTTTTTCACTGATGCAGTGCCACAGCCTCAAATGTAAAGAAAACATGCCAAAGTAGAAATGTAAATAAAATACTTAGATAATCAAGGCTGAATTCGATCCGCCTAAGTTCCAGAGGAGATTGCCCTTCCCTTCCCAGATACATTTCATGTGGCATCAGGTGGCTCATTGCCTCACCTGACTGTTATTTATCCTTTTAAATCTTTTTATTTATTTATTTTTGAAAGAAAAGAGTTAAAAATAATCTGGAATACATCCCCAATGTTCAGAAGACAGTACTATGTCTACACTCTATTAAAGGCCAAATAAAGATAATGTGACTTAGTCAATACATTGTGTGACTTTGGGGTTTTCCAAGTAAGAGTTTATACCCAAGTGCCACAAAAGAATTGAACTGATTTTTCCCCTCAAAACAGATTCTGCACTAATTTTGAGACTAAGTGAACATCCTTCTCAAAATTTTCATGTATGTAAGTTCAAATGCTGACTATATGCAAAATAGTTTATTTTATTTTCATAATCTTCCGTTAACAGTAACTTAATTTTTATTTACTATTAAGCATCTCTAGCCCACAAATTCATTAACTTTTTTTCAGAACACACTCAGTGTCTCAAATTAAAATGATAAAATTCAAAAATTCAAAACAAAGTATTTTGCTGTATATAATGCAAAGTATTATTACACTCAAAATATAAAGCAAATTATTAATTTACCTCCTCATCCAACTCCTTCATTATTTTCTCTAGACGATTGTTAATAGCTCTGTAGAATAATTAACATAAGTGTGAGAGAGGCACAGAATTATAGATAAAGATTTCCTTTAGCATAAAATCTTCTCCACAGCAAAAATTTAACCATTTATAAGTGCGCAACTAAATACGATTCTTACACAATTCTCTTTAGCAAGGCTTATTGAGAGCGGTAGAATGAAGTCAGATTTCCAACAATTCTTATATTTTGCAGGTGGCCCTTTAAATAATGATCTCTTGAATTTCTATCAGTCCAGTTATATATGCAGCTGCTAAATTACAGATAGATTTAAACTTTCCAAATTCGCCTCAAAATTCACATTAGCTAAATTGTCTAAAAATTGGGCAAAATCCTGTGTTAAATAAGACACGAACAGCTTGCAAAAACCTAAAGGAGCAAGCAAAGAAGCAATGTGGACTACAAAAAGAACATTTTGATGATTTTCTGTTCTCTATTTACTAATATTTGTTCATGTAATGACAATGTATATGCTACCTATAGAACATCAAAAAGAAGAATTTGGAAGAAGAGAAAGCATCCATACTTAATACTTCAGTCTTGTTTGTTAATTTTGGAGATTTGGGTTAGATATAGTAGGATCTGCTAATTGAACAGATCCCTATTCAACCTTATTTAATACAGGATTACGTCCAATTTTTAGACATAGTTTTCTGCAATAGCAATAGCACTTAGACTTATATACCACTTCACAGTGCTTTACAATGGTTTACAAAGTCAGCCTATTGCCCACAATAATCTGAGTCCTCATTTTACTGACCTCGGAGGGATGGAAGGCTGAGTCAACCTTGAGCCAGTGAGATTCGAACTGCCGAATTGCAGGCAGCTGGCAGTTAGCAGAAGTAGCCTGCAGTACTGCATTCTAATCATTATGCCACCACAGCTCTTAACTATTGTATTACCACAGCCTCAAAATCTTCAGGCCCCATAACCCTCTTTGATCACCTCAATATATTTTCCTGTCATTTTGTATAAGTGCAAAAATAGGCTTTACAGAATTGAACCCCTTCACAAAAAATCCTTGGCAATGCTACCCTCCTCCCTCATAACCCTGGAAAACAAAGCCCAAGATCCAAACAAGTGTCATATCCTTACCTATTGTAACCTCTCAACATCTCCCTCCATATTTTATATGCTCTCTCCCAGCAAGCAGGACACTGTCCAGCTTTGCTCTGTGTTTCTACCCTCCAATTCAAAAAAAAAAAAAATCACTACATACCAATACACAGTAGCGCTTAAAACTTGTGAACACTTTTGGATTTTTAGCATTTCTGCATAAATGTGACCTAAAGAGTGATGTGTTCTCTGCAAAAGTCCTAAAACTAGATAAAGAGAACTCAAATTAAACAAATGAATCTAAAACATTATACTTGTTTGTTTATTTAGTGAAGAAAATGATACAAAACAACATATTTATGTGTGGAGAAAGTATGTGAACCTCTAGGATTAACAGTGCATTTGAGGGAGAAATTTAAGAGCCAGTGTAGGTCATCCTCCCTTACTTAAAGAACAGAATTCTAGGCATTCACTATCACAGTCTGATCTTTACAACTGAGGGATATAAAAGGATTTCATGACTAGAACAAAAGAGATTTCTAAGGGCTTCTGAAAAGTAGTTTTGATATTCACCAGGCTGGAAACAGTTATAAAATTATTTGTAAAGATTTAGGACTTCACCAGTCTACTATCAGGCAGACTGTATTCAAATAGAGGCAATTAAACACCATTATTACCCTCTGAAGTAGTGGTCAGCTAACCAATTTCACGCCAAGACCAAGGCATGGAATACTCCAGATGACCTCAAAGAACCCCAGGGTAACATCTCAGGAACTAATGGCCTCTTTTCCACTGACAAATGTCAATGTTTTTAAGTCCATCCCCAGAATACTAAATAACAAGGTTTGCATGGCAGAATGGCAAAGAGAAAGCCAATATTCTCCAAAAAGAACCTTGCTACCCTTCTGCAGTTTGTGAAAGACACATGGATAAAGCCAGAAAGTTATTGGAAGAACGTGAAGGGAAAAATTTAAAACATAACTTTTTTTTTTCCTTAAATGAAAACGTCACGTTTAGCAAAAAGCAAACCTTGATTCTAGCACAAAAACTTTGTGCCATCTGTGAAGCCTGGTAGTATCGTGGCTTGGGCCTGCTTTGCAGCCTCTAGACCAGGCCAACTTGCTATTATTGATAGGATGATGAATTTTGAATTATACTAGCAAATTCTACAGGAAAGTGTCAGGATACCTGTCTATGAACTGAACCTATGAGAAAGCTAAGCCAGAAGAAAGTTAATCTTTTGGAAAGGCCAAGTCAAAACCTCTTAATCCTTCAGAAATGTTGTGGAAGGACCTGAAGTGAGCAGTTCATATAATAAAGTTCACCAACATCTCTGAGTTGAAGCTGTTCTGTAAGAGGAATGGATTAAACTTTCTCCAAGCCAATGCACATGAATGATCAACAGCTATCAGAAACATTTAGTTGTAATTATTTCTGTCCAAGGGAGGCACACCAGTTACTGAAAGCAAAATATATTTTTGCCACGCACAAATATGTTTCTTTGGTTCATTTTTGTCGAAGAATAAATGAACAAAATAATGTTTTTAACTTAATTGTTCTCTTCATCTAGTTTTAGAACTTGTGTGGAAAACAGATTGCATTTTAGGTCGGATTTTTAGGTCATATTGCTCTTTTGTCTTCTCAGTGGCTTTCAATTTCATTTATCATGGTATCTGTTGAGACCAGTTCTGGAATTAAAGGTGGCAGCAAAGTATTACCTGGTTCTCCTCTTTTCTCCAGGGCTGGTTCCAGTCGGTATTGATGGGTGAGAGAATCCAGTCCATAGCCCCTACTTTGTGGGGTGCAACAGGACTGAGGATTTTCTCCCCTCCTAAGTGACATGAGGCCACTGCAGGGGTGAAATGCTACCAATTTGCTCAGGTTCGGGCGAACCGGTAGTGATAAAAACTACCAGTTCGGGTGAACCGGCAGTAAAAAATACTTTTAAAAGGTTAAAAAAAAGGTTCCGACGACTGTGCGGCGTTGGAATCTTTTTTTTTTTTTTAAAGCATTGTTTTACTACCTATTTGCCGGAACTGGTAGTAAAAAAATGCTTTAAAAAAGAAAAAAAAAGTTCCGAGGATCGCACGGCACAGCTGATTGTCAATCAGTTGTGCCGCGCGATCTTCGGAACCTTTTTTTTTACTTTTTTAAAGCATTTTTACTACCTATTCGCCGGAACCAGTAGTAAAAAATGCTTTAAAAAAGTAAAAAAAAAGGTTCCGACGATCACAGCTGTGCCGTGTGATCGTCAGAATCTTTTTTTCCCCTTTTTTAAAGCATTTTTTACTACCGGTTCCAGTGAATAGGTAGTAAAAAATGCTTTAAAAAAGGAAAAAAAAGTTGGCCACACTCACCCAGTCACATGAAAACCCCCTCACTACAAAGCCACACCCACAGAACCGGTAGCAACAAATTTTATATTTCACCACTGGGCCACTGGGTGATATCATCCAATGTTTTGGGGGGATGTTATCACTAAAATGCTTATGATACCCATCTTTATATTTCTCCCCAGGGCTACTTGAATGATGTCATGGATACCTTGTCCCAATTTCTAGAGGCTGTGAAGACCTGGATGTGGTACTACAAGCTTTGAGTTAACCTTATTCCATGTTCTATGTTCAAGCAAGGTTTAACTGGGGCAGAATGCAGCAGCATGGGCTCCAGTTACTTGGCACATGTAATACCACTATTACATGTGGTAATAGTGGTATTACTATTATCTTTGGTTGTCTGTGTGCTTCTGGGTGCAATTTAAGGTGTTGGTTATCACCTTTAAACCTTTCATGGCTTAGATGGGCCCCAACTGTGCACAGGGACCTACTTCTTGGTTGTGTTAGTGAATTGCTGTTTTTCAACTGTCTCTATTTTTAATTTTATATTGTTCATTATTGTTTTTATTCTATTTTAATTCTGTTTGTCACCCAGAATCACTTGTTAAGATGGGCAGTCACATAAATTGGATAGGCAAACAAAACATATTTATGCAGAGGTATTAAAAATTCAAAAGAGTTCACAAACTTTTAAACACCACTGTATATAAAGTGTAACATATAACAGCTTTTTGATATTACAGCTTTTAATATAGGAAAGATTCTTCATTTATATTACATGTATTTTTAAGGAGTGGATTTGGCCTATGTCTATATAATTTTAGTTTTAACAAACTAAAATTATATTTTGAAGAGTTTCTAATTTTTATAAAGAGAATATAGTTATACCTGTATTTTTGCTCGAAGTCATCTTTGGTTTGTATTTCATTACGGAGTTGATCTTCTAATTTGTTTATTTTTTCCTGGAATTGTATAAGCTGACAGAAAAAAATTCCCTGATTTTTAGGCATTTATAAGTGACAGAATTTAGAAAGTTAGTGCATAAAAATACCCCTATTTATATAGCTTACATCAGAAGTTCCTAAACTGGGATGGCATGAAGAATTTGGGAGTGGTGTTGGTAGTGAGTATGTGAAATTTTTACAAAAGGTATCATTGTAGACAACTATGCAGTAATTTTCAAATGAAGGTCTAATAATCCAGGGACAAGTTGATGAGGTGATGGAAATGCTGAAGGTCAGCGGGTGAGTAACATAAACATCAATGCTGGACAAGATGATGGAAAGATGGAGTTAGAGATCAATAATTACATTTACTTAGGCAAAATGAAGGACAGATTTAACATTATTCATCTAGAGGCAAGATGTCTTCAAAATATAAACAGGCCTTTTGGTGTTAAAAATCTGGGAATACCTGATTTATACTGATCATTTCTTTACTAGTTATTTGCCAAGGTGAAAGTAAATTGTTTTTATGATAATATATAAAACATACTGAACTTGCTGAAACACATGATATTGAATATAAATTAACACTTCAGTCAAAATCTTGCAGATTTGTCATTATCATCATTGTCCTTAAGTTACACTGTGGTGTTACACTGTGTATTTTAAATTTTTAAAGCAGCAAACTTTACAATAATAAATGTGAAGCCTTTCCTAAATTATTCCATATTTCCTAAATGAAAGCCAACCCAAATTTGGTAAAAAAAATTGCATAGACATAAATCCAATGTTATGAAAGGTCCATTTACGAAGTTTTTTTAAAAAAAAATTCTTAAACTGAGATTTTTTATATTTCATGGAAAGAGAGAGAGAGAATGTATGTGTGTATCGTGTAGCAATACATATCGATAAAAAATCTTCAGAATAATGTGCTTACCTCTTCACCATCCTGTAAAAAATAAAAATCAGATACATGCTTAAAAACAGGATACGTTTCCATTTTTCCCCAATAATCTATATTGCTTGATTTAAATTATCCTCAAAAATCTAGTTATCTAAAGCTTAAATCATACAATGACAAGAACACCTTTTATTAAAGTGGATAATTCACAAGCAGTTCTAGATTTGTGCAATTAATTAACTACTGATGCACACATTTTCCATACATATGAAATAAATGTTTAGCAGATTAAAATATGAGTACTTACCTCATTTTTCTTAAGTTCATTTGTCCCATTGTTCTTACAGGGTTCAACTTTCTTACCGAGCTCAGGAAAGTCACTTAGCAACCTGTTCAAAACAGAAGTTTTCAAAAACTCTGGCCACTGTGCCAATCAACTCATTTTAATCAATTCTCTCTAGTCCTAATCCCACTAGACTGTGCTCAGAATGAAGGCATTTATTTAGAGTTAGCTCTATTAACAGACAATGGAGCTTTTTGGTTAATGGGGGAGGAGCCTAAGAGCTTCTTAAACCCATTTTAAATAGAAAGCTTCAAAAAAAAAAAGCCTATGCAAGCAGATATATTGGAATACAAAATGCAGGTCAGCATAACTGACTATAAGAGCAATGCCTCTATTTTGTGTGTATTATATTCTTTCCCCCGAAAATGCAGTAATAAACATTTTGGCAATTATAAAAACATAATCCAATGGCATGCATACATACATGCATACATGTGTAACACATATGCACAAGTAAAATCACTGCTGAAAAGTAAGGTTAATTGGTATGTATATTTTTTCACATATACTACATACAGGTTCTCTCTAAAGTAAGTAAATCCAATGAAAGGCAGTTGGTTTCCAACAAATGCTTTTGGGACTGGAAAGGTTTCAACATCTCCTTTGTCATCTTCAATATCATCAAAATTGCTGCTATCTATATCACTACTCAGTTCGGGTACAACTGGTGCAGCAGCTAAAAAAAAAAGTAGATACCTGTATTAGAACAAAATTCAATGTTCTTATATTAAAACAGCATTTTTCTTTCTTTTTTTAAAATTTGATTTATATGCCGCTCTTCTCCGGAGACTCAGGGTGGCTTACAATGCGTTAAGCAATAGCCTTCATTGTATACTTATACAAAGTCAGCTTATTGCCCCCACAAACTGGGTCCTCAATTTACCTACCTTAGAAAGGATGGAAGGCTGAGTCAACCTTGAGCCTGGTGAGATTCGAACTTACAGTAATTGCAGACAGCTGATGTTAATCATAATGCTATCAGTCTGCTGAGCCACTAGGCCCTTCTGTTGTCTTTAAGGTTTAATTTTGTATCACATGTCAGCACCAGGGTCTCAACTGTTACTCTATAAGGAACCTCATTTAAAAGGAAATTGTCTCTTATTCTCTCAAAGCCTCTATAATGTTTAATCCATTGTGGAAGGCCAGAATGCCTCTCATTGTATTCTATAGTTTCAAAGTAAGAGAATTATTTTAATTCAATGTGCAATTAACTATTTTGCTTCAGAACAATCAAACAGCAAGGTTGCTTATTCCAAACTGGGACAAAATTTAAATTATTTCAGAACCCCTATTAAACAAATTAATCAATGTTATATATTAAGAATAAATGTTTGACTATACAAAGCTGACACGATAGATGTGTAATTCCTAAAAGAATTGTGTCTAAGATAAAATATGTAAGAAATTTAAATTTCATTTAGGCTCCCATAATCTGTCCCTTTCAAAAAAGCTTTCAAGTTGAAAGTTGGCTGCTTTATCTCAAAGGTGTTTTTCCAAAATGCAACTGGACTTTCTTTACTTTTATCCCAAAGGTGCTTTTCTAATTGCTTTTTGTCCCAAAGGTGTTTTTCCAAAAGAAAAATGGATTTCTTTTCTTTTCACTTTTTGGAAAAGCACCTTTAGCTCAACCATGACATGGGATGATTGAGAATCCCCATAAGACATCCATTGCTTTAAGAACGAAACGCAATCACAATAGACTATGAATATGAAAAACTTCATAAAGAATCAAATATCTGCATTGTAGATTCTCTCTTGCTGAACCACATGGATATTAAGATGGTTTGCAAAAAAAAATTGAAATCTCCTTGTATTTTATTTATGAGTTAGTACACTCCAGGGTCTCCACCTTTAAGCAGTTTATAATCACCCACCACTAATCTTTTCCCCAATCCAATTCTTCTGTAAGCACAGAGAACATGAGAGTGTTTATGAATCTTTTCCTACCCTGTAAAGGCAAGGCCTCTGAACGTAATGGAAAAGCTTGCCCTTTCAAGTGCATAAGACTGTTAGAAATGAGATTTGCACTAAATGAAATATTTACTGCAAGAAATATGCAAAAAACAATGAAACACCGAAGTTGATTTTAGGAGCGTTTCACCAACTTCCAATCTAGAAACTTTACTTTGGCATTTAGTTGTAAGTAATCGTAAAGCTTTCACGTTTGCTGAAAAGTGTAATTTTAAAAAACTGAAGTTTTTACACAGTAAATATCTTACATTTTAAATCCACATTAAACTAATTTAGGCACACACATCCACACAAAAGGAAAATGCATTTTTTAAATTTTAAAAGATACTTACTGTCTCGAATGCTATTCCAATCCCATTGATCATTCTTAAAGAATAGATGAGATTTAATTTCTTCAACTCCACTCCTCCCTAGCCGCACATCCCTAAACATGGCAATTAAAGTCAAATTTTATTATAAGTTCTACAATTTTCTATTCTGAGGCAACCTATTCACAGTTTTTATTTCGATGCCAGGTTGCCTAAATGTGTAAAATATGCTATAATTTTTAACTGTTCATTAACATTAACATTGCAACCTGAATCATCCCAGTACATTTGCTACTAAATTTCTCGATACTCTCACATATACTGGTGAAATAACTGGAATTTTCGATCTGCCACGTGTGGAGTAAGACATAATTCCAACTGCACTCAGTAGAAAAGGAATGCTGGAAAAAAGCTCTTTTTTAAAAAAAACCCACCCTACAAGTTTGCCAAACCACAGTGCAAATATTTCAACATAAGTGACAGAAGACCTGGCTTCCTAACACAGAAAGTTATTCAAACTTTATTGAAATAAGTATTTCAAAGATCACATCCTTTAAACTCACCCATACCCATATTCATATTTTCCCCAACAATGTATAATGAACCCATTATGTAAGCAGCAAACTCATTTCTTTTTAATATAACAATTTTGTGTTCCTAACTGCACCTCAGGAAATACTTGTGTATCAAAATTAGTCATATAACTAATAATAAGTATTACCTTGCTGACATACATATATACACATACACACAAATATATAAACATACACAAACAGGCCTACATCATAGTAGAAAGGAATATAAACTCAGAGTTGTCCTCTTTAAAACTTCAAAATATTTTACTTCCTCGTGTATTTCTTTACTCCTTGCCCTCACAAGGGGACAGAAAGTTATACAAAATGAAGGTCTTAAACTGCAGCTTTAAGCACAATAATTTGTCTAATAATATGTATACATTGTGTGCACAATTATTAGGCAAGTTGTATTTTGGAGGAATAATTTTATTGTTGAACTACTACAGTGCTCTTGGTTAATCCAAAATGTTAATAAACCTCAAACCTGAATATTTAAGAAAGTAAAAGTGAGGTTTTGGCTTTCTTAGGAGAATATCCATGTGTGGCACAATTATTGGGCACCCATTAGAGTGCAGAATTATTATGCAACTAAACGAAAAATGAAAATTTGCCCATCTCACTCGTTTATTTGCATCTGTTAAAGTGAGAATAATAAACAAACAACTTAAAATGTACAAATAAATATTTCTGACATTTCAAAACAAAAAATCAGTGACCAATATAGAGTCTTCTTTTCAAGAACACTCATAAGTTCATAAAGTTTCTTGATCTGTTGACGATCAGCATTTTGTGCAACAGCAACCACAGCCTCCCAGACACTATTCAGAGAGGTGTACTATTTTCCTTCACCGTAAATCTCCCGTTTTAAGAAGGGCCCACAATTTCTCAATAGGGTTTAGGTCAGGTGAGGAAGAGGGCCATGTCATTATTCTTTCATCTTTAAGGCTTTTACTGGTTAGCCATGCAGTGGAGTACTTCGATGCATCGGATGGAACATTGTCCTGCATAAAAATCATGGTCTTCTTGAAAGATGCTGATTTTTTCCTGTACCACTGCTTGAAGAAAATGTTTTCTAAAAACATTGGGAGTTGATTTTGAGTCCATCTTCAACCAGAAAAGGTCCATTTTTAATAATACCAGCCCATACTAGTACCCCACCTCTACCTTGCTGGCTTCTGAGTCGAAGTGGAGTTCTGTGCCTGTTATGATTCTGTCATGGGCCCATCCATCTGGTCCATCAAGAATCACTCTCATGTCATCAGACCATAAAACCTTTCTCAAATCTTTGGCAGTTAATGTGCATCTTTTTTTCTCAACACATTTCTTGCAACCCTGTTGACTATTTGCAACAAAACATTTGATGGTTCAGTGATCATGCCCCAATATCTTAGCAATTTCAAGAGTGCTGCAACCCTCTGAAAGACGTTTTACAATTTTTGACTTTTCAGAGTCAGTTAAATCTCTTTTTTGGCCCATTTTTCCGGAGGAAAAGAAGCTGCCTAATGATTATACACACCATGATATAAGGTGTTTATCTCCTTAGACCACACCCTCCCTCATTACACAAATATAGGTAAAGGTTCCCCTCGCACATATGTGCTAGTCGTTCCTGACTCTAATGCTAATCTCCATTTCAAAGCTGAAGAGCCAGCGCTGTCCAAAGACATCTCCGTGGTCATGTGGCTGGCATGATTAAATGCCAAATGCACACGGAACACTGTTACCTTCCCACCAAAGGTGGTCCCTATTTTTTCTATTTGCATTTTTTACATGCTTTTGAACTGCTAGGTTGGCAGAAGCTGGGACAAGTAACGGGAGCTCACCCTGTTACCCGGCACTAGGGATTCGAACTGCTCAACTGCCAACCTATCAATCGAAAAGCTCAGCGTCTTAGCCACTGAGCCACCACGTCCCTTTACACAAATATACATCACCTGATATGCTTATATCCACTAAGCATTCAAGTTAATACAGCTTGGAGGTGGAAAATATGCATAAAAATGAAACAGTCAAAATACTTATTTGCCTAATAATTGTACACACTGTAATTTTCATCAGTTCATATAGCCCCCAAGAGAACCAAGAAAATCGGGATCATTTAACTGATCTTGAATATTCATAATAGTTAGGAGAGAAGTTGAAGGAAATCAATTTTGCTTATATTACCAATATTTAAACTTGGTTTGCATTGTCCCTGACACTAATAAATGCAAACTGGGTGGCAGGACAAGTAGGAGACCGCCTCTAGCACAATCAAGTAAGATGTATGGTATGTCTGGTGAAACATAATGGCTGTTGGGAGTTCTTTTTTACCTATACTCTCTCCAAATTCAGTGAGATATTTATAAGCTGGTAAACCTAATTGCTATTATGAGCTGTGGTGGCGCAGTGGTTAGAATGCAGTATTGCAGGCTAATTCTGCCAGCAATTCGATTCTCACCAGCTCAAGGCTGACTCAACCTTCCATCCTTCCGAGGTCGGTAAAATGAGAACCCAATAGGACAATAGGCTGACTCTGTAAACCACTTAGAGAGGGCTGTAAAGCTATATGAAGCGGTATATAAGTATATAAGCTATTGCTATCGTTATTCCGTATGATTCCTAGGAAAACCTGGTAAGTACTTTCTAGGAGAAAAGGTTTCTTAACCATGAGGGCTTGATCTCATGGAATTTCTTATAATTAAGCCAAGTTGAAAGTACTGCCTAAACTAATGACAAATTTAAGTTGGTTTTGTCTACAAATGGAGTATCAAAGATTGTATGCACAGATTATATCAGTGAGATCTCCCAAATGCCTGTTTGGACAGAATAGTTTACAATAACAAATTCACCCCAGTAAGGAAAAAATATGTTTACAAACCTGTCTGTTAAAAAAGCACAGATAAGGTCCTTTGCCTGCTTTGAAATTTCTACATCTTCTGGGAAATGCAATGAGTTCTTGTGATCCATTATTTTACTGTATGTTCCCACCAATGAATCAGCATAAAACGGAGTATCTCCTAAAAATTCGAAATGTAAAGGCATTATTGTTGTGGTTGAATCTTAAAGATTAACATAGTGTTTAAGATGGTAAATTGAGCATCCGGTGCTTAAAGATTCAAAACTTAAACTTGCTGGTCCTCTTCAGATCTGAACTGGGCCTCTATAATCTTCTTCCTCCCCCATCTCTGCCTCTCCCAAGAATAAGTGACATTAAAGGTTTTGCTTTCCCTTCTCTTCTAAAAATTAAATAGAAAAATGTCTGGAAAGCTCATAATTTACACACCAACAAATCCAGAGTCAAATTATGGTTTACAATTCTGATTTGTTCAAAACTGTAAGTTGAAATTAAATGTTTAGTTGGTAACATATCAAAATGGTGGTTCCCCTTTTTTTCCTTCCACCCAAAATACCGCAAATTACCTCAATGTCCTTTGAAAAAGCAGATCTTGTAGAGGCATTTGGGAAAAAGAAAAAGAGAAAAGAAGCATTCCATTCTATCAAGAGAAACTGCTCCTCTTCATGAAATATATCATTTAGGTTCCAAGTTGTACCCAAGTCTGGGCATAACGAGCAATCCTGCTTAGTTTCACAGCAGAACTGTTTTTGACTACTTTATTTCAATTGTTCAAGAGGAGATGAGGGAGAAACTGCAAGTACTAGCTTCATGAAAACTGTACGGCCTTAACCCCAACCAAGATTTATCTTTTGCTGAAACTCACATGACAATTGTTTCTAGTATGCATAAATTGTATTTCCTAGTGCTTCAAAACAATGAGTCTAACTGTATACAACATTCCTTATTACAGTATCACTAACTTTTATACAAATATTTAAAGAAAACATGTTACATCATAGAGAAGAGAATTTGCTACTGAGAATGGACAATTTGCTGTCATGAATCTTCTATCTCAAAAAATGCCTAGGGGGAGAGATTTATTGTGCAATTTATCTACGAGTAGCTATATAAATTCCTAATTTAAGCAACAATTGTTTCAAAATTCTCCAACCTATCAAAGGCATTTTCCACATCCTGAAAAATCACGACGGTACTAATTTCAATTTTTCTGAATATATACTTTGGAATTACAATTGATAGTCTCATATTACTAGATACTTGGTGGCCTTTTCTAAAAACAATGACATATAATTAAAGGTAATATCATATTGTAATGCATGTGCCATTCTAAAATCTGAATGGTATTGGTATAATCAATATGTAACACAACAAATAAGAAAGCCATCTGCATCGATAGGTTCTTATTTACACTGGTTTAATGGTATCAAATATTTCTCAGTAAGATAAAGGGGCAAATAGTCATGTATAATCTTAAAAAGAGCTATAATATATAAAAATTAATTAATTTTGTTCAGGATTAAATGTATCACAATAATATACAATCAAGAATTTAAATAGATTGCTGATTTACCGAGTCAGAATCACTATATTCTTAAACTGGATATCCTAAATAAGAAACATACTTATATTCCTGCAATGGTTTGAACCAGCAAATCACATTTTTATCTCATTGTCAATATCTGTTTAGTGAATATTCTGCTTTGATAAAGTTCCTGTGTCTCACTCATAGATGCTTTATATATCTTAGTAGAATCTTTCATACAGAATAGCAGAGTTGAAAGGGACCTTGGAGGTCTTCTAGTCTAACCTCTTTCAGGAAATCTTATACCATTTCTAAACCTTACGCGTATTAAAAATTTCTTTAACTTTTCCCCCATTGTAATCTTTTGATTTTCTATAAAGAATAAGCTACAATGCAATAGGCATTGAAATATGGATGTAGAATGTCTACTTATAAAAAAAGCTTCACATTTTTGCAGAAAGTCTATTTATAGAAAGCTACCCTGTTTCCCCCAAAATAAGACATCCCCTGATAATTTATTTAATTTTTTTTAATTTTGATTTATACGCCACCCTTCTCCGGAGACTCAGGGCGGCTTACAATGCGTTAAGCAATAGCCTTCATACTTTTGTATATTTATACAAAGTCAGCTTATTGCCCCCACAAACTGGGTCCTCAATTTACCTACCTTAGAAAAGATGGAAGGCTGAGTCAACCTTGAGCCTGGAGGAATTCGATCTTACTTTTAATTGCAGACAGCTGGTCTTAAATTACAGAGCTCTGTCTGTTGAGCTATACAGGCTCCTCCATAATAAGCCCAATCGGGCTTTTGAACTCATGGCAATAAGGCCAAGCGCTTATTTCATGGTTCAAAAAAATATAAGACAGGGTCTTATTTTCAGGGAAACACGGTATTTATAAGAAAAACTTCAAATTTTTGTTGTACCTTTTATAATTCACAGCCTCTTTTGTAAAGATAATAAAGTAATATTTCAATACCATCAATATAAAGGGGGCAATACTTCCTATAGTAACTGTTAATTTTACTTGGGCACAGTCTGACATTGCTATCAAACCTATATTACATATATGAATATATTTATCTAGAACTAGAATACTACAAACTAAACTAGTTTAGAATAACTCTAATGTGAAACTTTAAAAAGGTATATTCTTCTTGCAAAGGATTGAAAGGTTGTGATACATCATGTCAATCAATTAGTTTATAGATATTCTAGAAACATCCTTAAAATAGAAGTATTTTCTGAAATGTGTAAACAAATTTTTAAAAAACGTTTTACCACTATTTAGAATTCCTCCTTTTGTATTTTGCCTGCCTTTGCCTTTCTTTATTCAACATTCAAGTTTGAAATGTTTAGAAAAAATTAGATTGTAATGAACTGTATACTAATTGAAAAAGAGTTTATTTAATAACATGACCTAATAAAACAATGTCCAAAACATCTATATTAATTTCATAAATACTATACCTGAAAAGTTCCTAGTAGAACCATAATGATTATTAAATTTATTAAAGCAGCTTCATCACGAATATTTCTGAAACATTTATTTCTTGCTCCATTATAAATTTTGAGCACTTGTTAATCAAACTAATTTTTGAACAACCACCCCTAGTAATTTTCTTCCTCTTGAGAAAGAATGTGATTTCCTTCCAAATCAAAGGGGCCCACTTGCCACGACAAATGTAGATTATTTGGGGGGGGGGAGAGCCTTTCTATTTTAGGACTAGGTTTTTGAACCAAGTGAAATAGAAATCCTGATAAGTAGCTTCAATTTCAAAATTATGCAATGGCTGAAGAAATCAAAACCTCAGATTCATTTTTCCATCAAAGCAATCATAGGCTACAAATATAATGTTTAGCTAATATAATATGTAGAGAAATAGTGTGTTCTCTCTCTCTCTCATCTATCTAGCTATATCATTTGTCTGTCTGTTTGTCCTCTCTCTTTCTCTCTCTCTCTCTCCCTATCTCATCTGTCTGTCTGTCTGTCTGTCCTCTCTCTCTCTTCTATCTAGCTATATCATCTGTCTGTCTGTTTGTCCTCCTCTCCCCCGCCCCGTGTATAATTGCTATATAAACTCTGCAGTCAGATAATCTCATCCTGAAGATCTTTGTTTTTAAAACATTTGCCATTTCTATGAAAAGTGGTTTATCAGAATTTTTAAGCTGAGTAACTATTTCATGTGACTTTATAACCAGCCTTTTTGTCTCTATTTTTTTTAATCTAAAGCATCAAATAATCTCCTTAAAAAGCTCTAATTTCTCCTTTCAATTATTTTAACAAGATTTTTATACGCATAAACCAGTCATTATAAAACTTTATATATAATTGGAAAGAGCCTTTAAAATAGTGAGAAGCCTATTTTTGTTTCCTTTCCTTTCGGATTTGGGCTGGACCCAGTAGAGTCCAAAAAATAAAACTGCTTTTCCTTAACTAAGAAATAATTAAAGTTGCACTGTTCAGCACGTTAGATTGAAGTGCCAATTTTCCATGATATTTAGGGAAGTTCATTTTATAAGAATCCAAAAAGCATTACTAAAAACCAGATTCACTTAGGGACCAGTAATCGCAGCAGCAGCAAGAACATGTGAGCACACATACACACACAAACCTCACAGATAGAGCAAATCTATATTATATATTTGCAGCAATTACATCACTAGAACATATTAAGTATTATCAAGACAAAAATCCATATACATGCAAGGAAAAAACAACAACACTACTTACCAACAAGCATTTCAAACAGAAAAACTCCGACAGACCACCAGTCACATTCCCGTCCATAGTATCCATCACCACCTTGTGATTTTAATACTTCAGGTGATATATAATCTGGTGTACCAACAGCTGTATCACAACGCACCATGCCAGTCTATTCAACCACATAAACAATGACAATTAAACAACACTTTGATAGTTAACACACATTTTTTTTCAATTTTTCTTTTCATTTTAACCATACTATTTTTTACCAATATGCCTTGTGCTTCTTTTACACGAAGCTTAGGGCTCAAGTATAAAACATTCTTGTTCACTGAAGTGAAGGAGTTAAGCTTAAAGATAACAAAGTCAGACAAAGTAAACAAAAGCTGAGAATGTATGCTATGTCCAGTTAATGGCTCACAGAATCAACTGGTTTGCAATAAATTTCAAGAGAATTTTGGAGCTGCTCCTACAATAACAGAAAACAATATATAGTCACACCTCTATTTAGAGTAACTTAGTGGCTGCAAGCATTCCAGTTATGGAGTATAGCCCATATAAATCTATAAAGAAAACACATTTTTCTGATAGCTTATCTATGTACTAGTAGTAAATTGTAGTGCAATAAAAGCTGTGAAGCAGAAGTTCCAGGTTCAATTCTTATTTTACTTGCCTGCACATTATCTGTTATATTTAACACTAAAAAAGTAACCTGTTAGTAGTAGTGATCCACCCTGAAAGAAATATATATTTTAAAGACTGATAGTGACATATAATGTGCAACTCTTGCTTTGGACATTATTATGATGCCAAAGTTACATAAATCAGATTTGTTCATTGCTTTCATACTAGAAAAATTAAAAACCACATTAATTCATAACTCAGAACTGTGTTCTGAGCCTACTAAAACCTGCAGCCTACTTTGAAGAATATTTGGAAGCTTCTGATGGTGCAAAACATGGTGGCCCATGGGCAGCTATGGTTGCCAACCATTTAGCACATGTCATACCTCTGCTTTACAAACTACATTGTTACTGTTATGCTTCTGGGTACAATTCAAAGTGCTAATGCTCACTTTTAAAACTCTTCAAGACCTGGCGCCATATTACTTATAGGAGCATCTCTCCTCAGGGTATCTACTCATCAGGACAGGCATGCTCTGGGTCCCCTCTGTGAGAGAGTGCCATCTGACTGTGCCCAGAAGAGGGCCTTTTCTGTCATGGCTCCCACTCTTTGGAACATAACCACTTTTCAAGATCAGAATTGTTCCAATCCCATTGGCTTATGCAAGGCATTAATACCTTGGCTCTACCATTAAGCCTGGATCTCTAATAGTTTTGAGTGCATTCGTTTGTGGGTTATATAGGTAGTCCTTCATATACAACCATAAGGGAGCCTGGCCATTATGGTTGTATATCATAAGAGTAGTAAAATGGGTCAGTCATGTGACCCACCCGATTTTGTGACGGTCGCTAAGAAAACAAAAGGTTTGCTATGGGTGTAGTCCACTTCTTTCACTAGCATCCTCTGGAGAAAACGCTAAAGGCTCAGTATCTCAGTATTTTAGAAAACTAAGACTCAGAACCTTTGGTATTTTCTCCTCCAGAGAGCAGAAGTACGCTAACAAAAGAGATGGATTCTGAAGAAGAAAGCGCGAAAGGCTCCGAGCCTCAGCGCTGCAGAGCACCGAGATTCAGAATCTGTGGCATTTTCTCCTCTGGGATCCACCTCTTTTATTAGTTTCCTTCACTTCTCTGGAAGAGAAAATGCTAAGAAGGCCCTGAGCCTCAACACTGAAACACTGATACTCAGAACCTTTCAGAATGTCAGTTTCCCTAGCGTTTTCCCCTCTAGAGGAGAAAATGCTAGCAAATATCATCATTCTCTGGATGATTCGGAAGACCCCCTCCAAATTGCACAAGAGATTTAGAGAAGGAGCTTTCTGAACCATCACGGAATTGGGCCTGCATGCAGGATAGAGCGAGGCAATGAAAAGGTAAATGAATCCAAGCGTTGGTAGTTTGGAAAGATGATCCAAGCGTTGGTGGGGCTAGTTCGCTGATGCCTCCCAGCCCATTGCAGGTTTCCATGTGCCAGTGGGCACTGGACCTGTCAAGGACTCTCCCAACCCCTGCGGCATGCATGCAATGAAAAGAGCTTGGATTGCAGTTGTTGAGTAAAGCAGACATGTAGGTGCCTCGTGTAATAACTGTTATGACTTACAATCAAAATTCCATCCTCAATGGTGGTCGTAAGTCAAGGACTACCTGTATTTGCACACATTAGCATCACCTGAGCAGCTATTATTAAATTAAATTAGATATAGGGAGACTTATCTGGAAGGAGAGATAAGATTCTGCATTATTTTACCACACTGTTTAGAAGAGTCTAGTGAAAAACCTGGAAAGAATTATTACTATGATTATAATCAAAACTTATCATAGCAACTATGTATGCATTTAGGGCTCTGCAAAACTATCTTAGGAAAATATGAAGCTTTAACAGTTGGCCATGAAAGGGATACAACAAAAGAATTGTTACGAAGTTATGGGTAGACAGAGGAAGACTCAGGTGACAAGAAGTTATATCTCTTAAGTGGGACAAATTTACTCATTTAGGGGTAGGATGCCAACTTCTAAAATATATATTAAAGCATTGCTAGCTTTTCAACGGAAGAATGAAGTCCAAGTACAGAGTCAATTCTGTATCCATATTTTACTTTTCACCTAGAAAATAAAGAACTGTAGCATGGCACAGCCTATGTAACAGAGACAAAAGAAATGGTATAATGTATTCTGCTATAGGCAGAGGGATTGCTTATATTTCTATCAAAAGGTTAAGCATAATTTAAGATGCATGGAAGTTTAAAATAAGCTTGCAGAAAGAGGATCTTCTCTAATTAGGTCTAACAAATTAACTGTCCATTGTACAAGTATCTTTTATCTCTTAGTTTCAATCTGCTTTAGCAGTTTTTTTAAATAAACCAGTAACTGTACTAGGTAGTCATGAAGTTTTAATGTTCTGTACTTGGTTCATTTCAAAATTGACTCAAGTATAAAAATATTTTTCCTCCTAAATTTTAATGGATGCATACTGCTCTCTGATCTGTGGAATCACAACTCCCTTTTAACAAGGTCAGCAATAAAGAACTATTCAATATATAAAATGTTTGAAGCGTTTATTGGAGATTAAACAACCCCTTTCAGAGATCTTTCCTTCCCAGATTCCCCAATGCCTTCAACATTGACAGAGCTTTTAATGTACTTGAAAAGTACTTCAACAAAAATTCATGGAAATATTCAGAGATGCATTTGCCTCGAAAGTAGTTCATGTTGAAATGTATAGTGCAGTCAAACATCAGGAGTTGATGCAGAAGTACAATGCACAATTACTCCCAACTGAAAGTTATGCACAGAGAAATATGAGAGTTTTAGTAATATAGAGATTAAAATTTAATACATTCTCTCACAGGACAGGAAATGTTTTCTCAGTTGATAGACATATTTCTGGCAACCTAGATATATACAAAGCCCAAAGGATGGGATTTCTGCTGATTTGGAGGGGGAGGTGTTCATATTTTTAGATCTGTTAAGCCCTTCCAAGTTTATGTCTTTTCAACTTTTTGCCAAAAATGGCATGATTAAATATTTTAATAATTTATAAAAGCAAAAAGAAAAATCCATCCACTGTATAAAGTTCACTGATTACTTCAATAAATATAGTAGGCAAATAGCGTCTTTATTTTAGAACAATGATATCTGCAAATCAAAACTTGCATATTCTAGTTTACCACAGAAAGAATTTTTTAGTCCAAAATGACCTATTTGTTTAATTTTAAAGTAAACCAAAAAGCCACTAGGGGATGCTAAGGGATGCTTCTGAGTAGGAAATACATGATAGATATTGCTTTTATTAATCAACAAGCGTTTATGAAAGAGGTTTTAAAATACTGAAAGTATATTTCTCAATATCCTTTCTCAACCTGTTGTTCTTCCACACATATATGTAAGAACCTTAATAAAAATATCATATCCGTTCCAGAGGAAGAAATCACGGATTGAAGAGAGTTCTGAAAAGCAGAATGAATGACCACAGAGGGATTAAGAACTAGCAAATAGACCAGCTCTTCAATAATTCCTCTCCAGGTAAGAAAAGAAGATTGAGATTACTCACAAGTACTTCAGACAAGTACTGCTCATCCCATGGCAACTGCCTAGTTTAGGTGAATTTAGAGCTCCGGGAGACTAGCCATCTTGCTCAAACTGCAGTCAATACTTTTGAAAGGACACAAAGTTTGCATACTTCCTTTTCCGATCATTTTTAGCTATTTTCAGCTATCAGAAAGCATTGGATGATCTCTGTTATTATTATTCTAGTGCTACAGTATTTATTACATTATTTTCATATAAGGGTTGATGAACAATGTGAAACTTCACGAAGGGCTCAATGAGCTGAAGAATTTGGGGTTCTGGCATAGTAACAAAAAAGAATTTCTCATGTTTGCAGGTGAGAGTTCGTTCTAGAGCAGTGGTTCTCAATCTTCCTAATGCCACGACCCTTTAATACAGTTCCCTCATGTTGTGGTGACCCCCAACCATAAAATTGTTCCTAAGACCATTGAAAATATGTTTTCCGATGGTCTTAGGCGACCTCTGTGAAAGGGTCATTCGACCCCCAAAGGGGTCCCGACCCACAGGTTGAGAACCACTGTTAATCTAGAGAGAATTGTGTGTGTGTGGGGGGGGGGTTAATCATCATGAGCAGCAATAACTGTTTCCCTTAAGTTATTGCTGTCTGTAAAATATAACTGGCCATGAGCATGGAGAAATGTATGTATGAATCCTTTTCAAGTGCCCACTGTACACAAACTATCGATTTAGAGTTAATACACCCACTCTTTAGTTTGATAAACTCCACTTATGATGAGGAGATTGAGATATTCTGACTAAACAACCAATACCCAGGTGTTTTGAAGGCAGCAGCAAATTTTTTATTTGTAGCTTTAGCTCATAGGAACCATTTGGACCCTTCTATGCAATTTTAACTTTATAGGGATTCTTAGATAAATAGAGTGCTGTATGTTTTAAATTCTATGACTTGGTATTGGAGAGTAAGTAAATATTTTTAAAGAAAAAAGAATGATATTCATAATGGTTGAATCAAAATACTATTCTAATTTATTAGTGCTACAAAAATTTAGCGACCACTAGAATGGTTTGTATGTCTTCCTAGGTTTTGCAGTTCAAATATGGTAGTCCTAAATTAACTAGTGAGGCTCTTTTGTTAAAGGTTCCTAAGTGTGTAACTAATAACATTGAACAGAATATAAAGAGAATTTCTACTTTAGCTCCACACTGAATGTCATCTTAGCTTTATCATCCTTGCAGCTTCTCTAAAGCTCTCTCTGATTTGTGTTCCTGTTGGAATCTATATATATAAAAGCGAAAGCCACTGACGCATTAATCACGAAATCTCCAGAACTGTAAAGCCTACAAACTTGAAATTTGCCAGTATGTTCCTCTTGGCTTCTAGGTACTCACTAAAAAAGGATTTTTCGAAATGACCATCAGAGCATTAGTATTTCCTATATTATTATTAACATGCTCTGATGCTAAGGAGTTCTACTCCCCCTCCCCACATCAAAAGAAATGTTCCAAATGCAAAACACAAGCAGAGGTGTTTCACTTTCAGTTTTACTTTCACAGCAGCAAGCAGCTTTACTACAGAACAATTGAGCTAAGCCACACCAGCCTCCTTCCTGTCTCCTTGCTCACACAGCAAATACTGTTTGAGTTTCCAAACACCCCTCAACTCTCTCACACACTGACAGGATGGTAGCCAGATAAATAACGGATGGATGCTGCATGCTGGGACATTCTACTACCTCTCCCCCTCTGTTCCAACTGCCAGTTGCATTATATTAACACACACTGATGCTACGGAGTTACACATTCTGCATTAAGTTTCAGGCTGCAAGTGTTAATTTATCAAGCCTGAGCACATAGTTTCGTAGCGAAGCACGGGCGTCCAGCTAGTACATTTATAAGTCACTGTCTGGCAAATTGTATTAATACAACTAAGGAAAGTGGGCAAGAAAAAAAGATGGGTCAGAATGGAAGAAAAAACAATTTAGAAGGGAGAGTGTCTACAACTCATCCAAATGCCGTCAAGCTATCCATCTGTGGGTTTTTTTCCCCATGAATAGAAATATACATGTAATATGAATATATTTTTCCACATATATGTGGTATAAGCAACGTTTCTATTTCAACAACTGCCAAATAATTCATCCTCCCTACAATGAGGTAAGTTTGTATGGGAGAGAATGTCTGCCTTCAGTTATCTCCAAATTTTATGGGTGATTAGACATTGCAATCCGCATCATTCTAACACAGGGGGGTCAAACTCACATCATCACAGTGCCATCATGTGACTTATTGGGATTTTTTCCCCCCTTCGCTAAACTGGACGTGGGCATGACCAGCACGTGACGCATCCGGCTTGCGGGCTGGGACCTTGACAGCCCAGCTCTAATACATCTAGAACAGGGGTCAGCAACCTGCAGCTCTGGAGCCACATGTGGCTCTTTCATCCCTCTGCTGTGGCTCCCTGTTGCTGCTCAGCTCCACAATTGATAGGGCTTTCGGTTAGGACAAGTAGAGGAAAAAGGATGCCATGCTAGGAGGAGACTCTATGGTGGGAGATCCAGACTTCCAGTCAGCAGAGGAAAAAGGACGCTGCGTTAGGAGGAAACTATGATGGGGGAACCGGACTTCCGGTCGGCTCCAGAATTGAACAGGGGCTTCCAGTTAGGACTTTTGTGGCTCTTTGAGTGTTTAAGGTTGCCAACCCCAATCTAGACCAACATATTAACTACCAGACCACACTGGCCCAAAATACAATTGTTCATTCACCAGGATTAATCATTTCAACCTATTTCAATGTGTTGGCAACTTGTTCAGTAAGGAACATAAACCATGGTTTCAAGGGCTACATACAATGTTTTCAGGTGTTCTTCCTCTCCTCCTGCTTCCATCTCACTATACTGTAGAAACCTCTTACATTTGACAGGTTCCTTCTGAAAATAAGGGAAGCCTGAAAACTAGATTTTCATATAAGCTACAGATCAAACCATTCTGAAAAAAACCTAAGTGAGAAATAGTGCTATGTGCGATCACTGGATCGTCATAGAAACACTGTCTATTTTCAATGTCTTTATTCTTTAGGGTATTCTGAAAACTAGTAATAAAGAAAGCAGAGTGTTTGATAAACCTTTCCTTACAACCAGTATTGGCAGTATAGCAAAGTTAGAACTTTACAGCAGAACTTTAGAGCACGGCAACACGTTATCTGCCAGATGAGGGTTACATCTGTATTATTTTTAACTTTTTTAGATTTTGTAATCTTGTCTTTATTGTTTTTATAAATAACTTAAAAAGCAAGGAACATGTCTCCCATCCCCCCCACTATTCTCCCCACAAAAACAAAGGTGGACTGGACTGAGACTGGACCAAATTCATCCAGCTAGTTTTTCATGCCTAAAACAGAACTATAACTCACCATCTGATGGCTTCTAGCCTTCACCACTAGACCAAACTGGCTTTCAGGTTTTATTAACTTGAACCCCAGAACTATGATTTAAACTCCTGAACTTTATACATCTGTCCATCAACTTTAGTTCTCTTTTAGTTTTCAAAATAGATGATTACATTATAATACACTTTACATTTTCCTATCTCTCTTGAGAGTAGGTGTGAGACTGAATCGATTTGTAGTACAGAACGATATCCCAAGCCAGCAGTTCAACCTCAATGTTACAAGCAAAACAAGCAAGCAAGCAAACAGAATGCTGTGCAAGTACCTTAAACCAATACCAAAAATACTTAATGTGATAGAGACACACTCAAGCAACAGAAAAGTATAATTTTAACACAGAGAAGTTTAATGTTATGTAGTACAGATAGAAGGCAATAGCTGAAAGACAGTAGCTTGGTTCAAGAAACCAGGTTAATTTATTACAATAGCAAGCACTGAATCACAAATCTTCACAGTAAGTATCTCAGCCACCGCACTATGTTCAATATTAACCATAACATAATTAAAATCCTTTCACTAATATTCATATGCTGCCCAATAACAATGAGGTTCTTTCGATTGCACACACTATTTTTGAAACAGACACGATGACCCAGATACTTACGTCATCCATTTTCATACAAGTACCAAAATCTGCCAGCTTCAGATGTCCGTATTTATCCAAAAGCATATTATCAGGTTTCACATCTCTGTGTATCAAGCCCATGGAATGAATTGCATCGAGAGCAAGGACCACTTCAGCTGTGTAAAATTTGGCCCACTTCTCAGGCACATCATAATTGCTCATGAGGTTGACAAGATCACCACCTGGCATGTATTCCATTACCATGTATAGGTATCGGTCATCTTGAAAGGCACTAAAAAGCTGTTTCCAAAAGAATAAAGTATCAATAGGTTTTTTCCCTCTATGTGAAGCAATAACTACAACTATCATTGGCTAGGATGGAAAGTGATAGCCATTTAGAGAATTATTGGATAAGAATCTGTATTATAATTATAGCTTTCAGTGTTATGTTGTAATACAAGGTTCTTGTTAATAGCAAAAACGTTAAATTACTGCTAGTTCCAAGCCTTATTTTCTCCTTTTCTAAGAAAAAATGTCTCTTTATTTCATGGGCTACTATAAATCACCTTGGTATGGATTTTGAATTGGTAGGAAATTCCTAAATCCTAAGACTTGGGTAAACAAATGGAAGGACTGTCTTTCAAAAACTAACAATGCACAGAAAGGGGCGTTGGTCTTACCTGATACGCCCTAGGCAAAAACACGTCTGTCTTTAGCTAGGACTGAGTCAAAAGCTGGGGACCGTTGGGGTAGGCGTGTCCTCACAGCTTTGACAGACTCAGTCCTATTGGCTAGCAGACATGGACAACGCATTCCTGGATGCTATCTCCACTTCAAGGGAGAATGTGTGTATTTTAAATCAAGGAATTATATGAGCAGCTTACAATATATTTATATCAAATTCTAAACCCATCAGGTATCAAAACATAAAAATTGCTATTTCACCTATTTATATTTTCCCCATTTATTTACATTTCCCTTAAATTACCACCGAACTTTGTACACAAGAAATATCCATACCTGAACTACCCATGGACTATTGGCAAAGGCCATTATATCTCTCTCTTCCCAGAAGAAAGCTGAATCTGACCTTTTTAACATCTCAAATTTACTTAGCAGCTTCATGGCATATGCTTTCTGTGTTATTTTATGGCGAACCTGTAAAAAAAAAAATCAGGATTTAAATAATATAGAAAGTTGGATATGGAGAACCAATAATAAATACCAAAGAACAATCCTCTAAGCTTATCTAAACACTGAAAAGCAATAGCCTTCAAGAAATAGAATTAAAAGACCAGAAACCTGAAGGGTAAAACTCTTAGAAAGAAAATATTAAATCAACAGCCAAAGGGAATACACTTTTACAGGATGGTCAGCCACATACACACCCCTTCTTTATTTTAAAAAAACAGTTATTACAAAACAAAATAAATGTCCATAATGAGACAATCAGCGCTGGTACCATCATCAAGAAGTTGAGGAGAGATCTAACATCCAATTGGCACAGAAACAAAAATTGTTTTTTTGGCAATTCCTTCCATCCCTCCTTAAGCAGAAAATATTAGAAAGAGACAAAAAGACCTAGAAAAAAGCCCATTCTTCAAGCCATTTATTATACAATCATTGAAATGTTTCACACTTGTCCGTGTTGCATATAGACGTTTATAATTCCCAAGCACCAACAACTGAGTTAGCACCATCTTTAGAACAGAAACACTTCTGATGTTAATAGTCAGAATTTGGCTCTTTCCTATGAACTGATTAAATTAAAGCCCCAAAACAGCTTCAATACATATGCATCTTTCAGACCCATGATAAAACATGTGCTTCATTCTGAAGAATTCTGGCAATAACTGTGTAGTATTCATGTCTCAAAAATCTGTTACATCTAATAATAACACTCTGATTTGCCAATCTTCTACAAAAAATATAAAACATCCTTGCTGAATTTGACCACAAACCTCTACTGTCCAACAGTGTTTTTCCATAATGGCCAACAAAATGCCAACAGGAACCACAAAACAAAACAGAAACGCACAAACACACTAATACTCTCTCATAATTGGAATCAATAAACCAATACTTCCATTACTGGAGATAATATGCAATCATCATGGCAACAGGCCACTAATTCCCTCATCATCCCACAATTTATCCAATATAGCAAGGTAGTTGACCGTCCTTAAATTTTGTAACAGATTCCATGTCAATGCACTACATAAAGTCATACTTTCTTTTATCTGCCTATCTAATTATCTAGAAATGTTTGTTTCTTTTTAAAAAATGGCCATCCACTATTCTGTAATCTTCACAAACTTTCTATTAACCCACTGTTAACCCATAATTAGTTCATACTTATCAGTGTAAATTAAATATGCACTTCTGCTCCAAAGCACATTATTTATATTTGCCTATGTTTTAATTTACTTTATTTATTCATAACTTTAAATTATTCTGAGATTACCCACTAACCCAAGAAACCTAATGTGTGGCCATAAAGAAAAACACTATTCTTAAGATAATTAATGGAAACCCAAATGTTTTATGATGATATTAGGTTCTTACCAGCTGTACCACACCAAATGCACCTCTTCCAATCACTTTAACAACATCATAATCTTCTACTTTCATTTGAAGATCACGCATTTTTTGTACAATTTTTTCATCTGAAAAAGTTTAAAAGAAAAATATTTGTGCTATTAAAATAATATCCACGAAGGATAATACACATTAAGCCACTAACAATACAGAAATTTAAGACTAGTAATTACAAATGGCATAGACCATTTAATCTGCAATGTCAGGTTGTATTTTCAGTGCAATGCACAAAAAAACCAGATCCTTTAAAAAAGTACAGCAGAAAGTATTATCTTTGTAAAATAAGAAAAAGCAGGCCTTAAATCCATAAATACAGGTAGTCCTCAACTTATAACCATAATTGACCCCAAAATTTATTCTGTAAGCAAGACAGTTATTAAGTAAGTCGTGTCCCATTTTGCCACCTTTTTTGACAGGATTGTTAAGTGAATCATGTGGATGTTAAATGAATCTGGCTTTCCCATTGACTTTGCTTGTCAGAAGCTTCCTAAGAAAGTTGAAATGAGAATCCCAGAATCCCGGGATGCTGCAACTATCGTAAATATATGCCAATTGCCAAGCACCCAAAGTTTGATCATCCGACTATGAGAATACTGCAATAGTCATACGCGTGAAAACTGGGTCATGTCACTATTTTCTGTGCTGTTGTAATTCTGAATGGTCATTAAATCAATGGCTGTAAATCAAGGACTACCTGTCTACATAAATAGCAAAACAAAATAAATCTATGTTTGTTAAAACAGCATTAGTTGTTAACTTTACCCACCATAATCAGGAATACTTTAACTATGAAATTTAATTATAAGATGTTAAAGTACCTTTAAATATCATGTTTTAACTTTTTTTATCATTGACCCTTGAAATCAAATCATACTATTTTGGATTCTCTCCACACACACCTCCACCTGCTTCAAGTTAGTCTGGACTCCTGGCAACTTCCTGGACAAGTCCATGCAGCTTTCTAGGCAAGATTATCTTTCAGAAGTGATTTGTCACTGTCTGTTTTTCAGAGCTGAGTGTGTCTGGTAGCCCAAAGTCACCCAGCTGGCTTTGTGCTCGAGGCAAGACCAGAACTCACAATCTCCTGATTTCTAGCGTAATACCTTTAACCACCACACCAACTGGTTCTCCCATTTTCTTGAGAACTAAATATGTAGTTTCAGAGTTCCAGAATATGATATTTACTATTAAATTACTATTGACAGAGTCTATTATCATAATATCGTGACAGCAAATCTCTTTTAGAAACGAGGGGCAAGCTTATGTGGATTAAGCAAATAAAAATGTTATATAATACATATAAAAATATTCTTCATCTACATAGGGATATTTATACATAAGAAAAACTTACATCTGTTAAGGAAATTATCTATGTTTTTGTTCTTCCTCAGTGCTGGATAATCCAGATCAAGGACTAAGGACTTTAAACCATCCTAGAAAAAAAGAAAAAAGGGAGAAAAGGGAAAAAACAAAGGAAGATTATTTTAGAAATTTCACCTTTCCTTACTCCATGAATATTTGAACATATATAGAACCATGAGATTCCAAACACACAAGCTTTCCATTTGCATATGATGTTTATCCATATTTTAGGAACAAATCTTTCAGAATGGAATTTATCTTCTATTTTACATAGTTGTATGTTCTACATTTCACTTACTATAGTTCATATTATACATACTTTAGGCTATCAAAAAGCAAAATTAGTCAACTTCTACTTGCACAGCAAGACATTTCTATTGCTGCACCTTTTCAATACTACCTCTGATGTATTCTGGCACAGATTTTGAAGGGCACTGGATGGGAATTGGGAATCAAATCTGCTGATGGATATAATTTCACTGCTAAATAGATATCATCGGATATATTGTCATATTTGCTAAGAAGCAATTCCTATAACATTCAATGGGATTTATTCTAACGTAAATACAGGTTTGTAATTAAGAAAATATATTCCCGCTGTAGACCCTACTGGGTTTTAGTTCTTTAAATCCTTAAAAGACTTGACTCTTAATCTGGGGCTGGTCCCCAATGTATGTAGAAACTTGGTTTTTTAAAAACAAATTAGTGATTATAATGTATGATATTTTCTCTGGTGCTATGTATTTTAATTTTTGTATTATTGTATTAATTTTACTTTATTTTTAATTTTTTCACTATCCAGAGTCGCTTGTGGACATGGGGAGGAGGTCACACAAATGGAATGAATGAATAAATCAATAAATTTACTGCCATGTTTTCATTGCGACCCATTTCCAGTTAATGAGATTGTTTCAGGTTATGAAAACTTCAAAATCCATCTCATTTATTTCAGAGACACAGCTCAAGACTGTCTACATCGTTTTGAATCTTCTCACTTTCACCTAAACTATCAGCCACTTTTCAAGGTTTGTTCATCTGTATATTTTATAAGCCTTTCCAACAACTCCCAACATTTGCATCACTAATAAAAAATATATATGAAAAGTACAGTGTCTTCTGCCACTCCATGATGTCTGGATCATTCGAACAGTGCTGGCACTCAAATACCTATCATGAACTTGTTTTGTAGGAGAACACCTTTCTTCATTACATTCTAGACTTCCCTTCCCAAAAGGAAAATAAAGATCCTTTTTGACAGCATCATTATCACTAGACACCAGTGCAATGTGCTGTTTCTCTACTCAGGCAACAGGAAGTTGATCCTAGTTCTTTTAAACCTGGATGTGAAATCATGCTGTTCATTACAAAGTCCACAGTTTTTTCCCCTCCAAAATATCTAGCGGATTCGCACACGTAAAGGTAGGGGGAAAAAAGAGTAGTAAAAGCAATATAAATTGATTAAAGTATTTTTAGTTATGCTATTTGTCATCTTCATCATGAACCGTAACAAATATTCTTCTAATCTCAGGTAAATACATTTACTACTCTGATATAACACACAAAAAAGGGAAGCAAGTATCACCCAAATCAATCATTCTAAAATGGTTTAGAATGCGCAGAAATTTGCAAAGACTTTCCAGAAACAGGAGGGTACCCATATTAGTCTTTCAAAGCAAAAACAAACAACCAAAAAAAGCATTTTAAATATTATCAATTAATTTTAATATAAATTTTCATTCATAACCAAACACTTAATGAATACCTGGGAACATTATAAACCTCTCCCCTACAAGACTATGCATTCTTCTAATACTTGCACTTCTTTCCCGCAAATGAGCCATAACATGAAAGAAAATTTCAAGTTCCACCTCCACAAAGAGCAAGATATTCAGAGTTTCGTTAATAAAGTATGTTGAAAGAGAATAGGATAAAGTGACAGAAATGTCAGCAACTGGATTTTCCCTTTAGAAGGGACTTCCTCGGCCACTCAGCTCCTGGGAAAACTGGTGAGGAGGCTATTTTCTTAACAGGTAACAAAAGAATACCCAAGAGAGTCAAGGATGAGAATCTCTCACAATTACAGAACACAATTGCTCACAAACAAATAATTGTAGAAACAGAATATTTAAAGTCATGGACATGCATGCATCATTCTAATTTGCTGTTTTGTGTTGCTCTTGTATTTCTATTGCCCATTTTGTGAGTCTTTACAACTGATTAATATCATTAGGAAAAAAAGCAAGGAAGTCCACATTCTAACAGCATACAATTGAAATGGTCATGTAATATATCTTCCATTCATTTCTGTAATATTTTGGAGCGGTTGTTGTAAAGAAAGAAATTAATTCTAATCAATCTTACAAGATGTTTAACAGACTGTATCCATGAACTACTTGGAGTGCTATATCAAGAACTAGTTTGTTAATAATTTGCAATTAAATCATGAAGAAATTGATAAATCTATTCTATTACAAGAAAGATTACCAATATGAGATCAAACCTTGAATATCTGATAACTATCCTAAAGCCTATTTCAATGGCCTAACCAACTTACAGAAAAATAACTATTTTAGTTCTGATGCTGTTGAAATTTGGGGTGAATTGAGCACATCCTCAAAACGACAAATAACACAAATTACACTACAAAACAAATTCAGCAAATTTTGTCTCCAGCTTTTTTTCTTGCCAACGTTCTGTTAAACAATCAGTATCATGGTAAATTCTGAACTGCTAAGGTACAGGGGTTAGTTAGTTTAAACCAGCCTATCAACAATCATCCTTTAAATATATCAAATATTTTTTATCTGTCTTTTTATTCCACTGATATACTGCCTTCTCAATCACAGACTCAGGGCAGTTTACAGTAACAATCAACAATAAAATAGCCACTAAATGCAAGCAATAGAGGTAGTCCTCGACTTACGATCACAACTGAGCCCAAAATTTCCATTCGTAAGCAAGACAAGTTGGACGTTGGTCTTACCTGATACGTCCGTTCTCGCTATGGAGGAAATGGCAGTCAGATTGGGAATGACACCTCTATGCAGCATAGGACCGAGTCTGCTAAATTTGCCTGGCTCTGCTCTCCTAGCCCAGTGTTTCGGCGAGGGCGCTGTCACAGACCGATGTGTCTTCCTGTAATGAGAGAGAATTAATAGCCACCCACCCCATCGACCCATTCTGGCTGTACCCAGAAGAGTGGGGCTGACTGCCGTTTCCTCCATAGAGAGAACGGACATATCAGGTAAGACCAACGTCCATTCTCCGCATAGGAGGGAAACGGCAGTCAGATTGGGGACATACCAAAGCTGAATGTCCTCCAGGATGTGAGAGCTCCGGCCCGGAATAGTCAAGGTTGGTGTATCACCTGCAAAACTCGACGGCCGAAGGCCGCATCCGCCGATGCGAATGAGTCCACCCGGTAGTGCGGATGAAGGGAGCGAGGGTCGTCCAAGTGGCCGCCCAGCAGACCTCTTCCAAGGAAGCCCGGGTGGCCCAGGCTGCAGACGTGGCTGCACTCCATGTTGAGTGCACCCTTATTTGTGGAGGCACCGGGAGACGAAGTTGTTGGTACACTGTAGCAATGGTGGCCCTAACCCAGTGTCCCAGGGTGGGGCCTGTGACCCGTGTGCCGATAGAATCCACTTGGAAAAATATGAAGAGAGCTTCAGTTTTACGGAAGGGACTCGTCCTGGAGATATAAATCCTAATGGCTCTACGTACATCGAGAGTGTGCCAGGAGCGCTCGTGTCTCTGAACGGGGCGAGGGCAAAAATCCGGATGAACCAGCTCCTGCGCCCAGTGGAAGGTCGAATTCACCTTAGGTAAAAAGGCCGGGTCGAGGCGGAGGACGACCCTGTCAGTATGGAAGGTACACAGATCCTGGCGGATGGAGAGAGCCGCCAACTCCAATATACGACGAGCCGAGGTGATTGCGATTAGGAAAGACACCTTGAAGGACAAGAAGCACAGGGAAACCTGGCGAAGAGGTTCGAAGGGTGCTGCTGTAAGGGCCCGTAGGACTTTGTTCAAGTTCCAAGTCGGAAACCGGTGTACAACCGGCGGTCTCAGATTTGTTGCTCCTCAAAGGAAATTGCAGAGGAAAGGATGTCGGGCGAGCGAGTCCATGGAGCCGCAGGACAACACCGTCGAGATAGCCGCCAACTGGCGATGCAGTGTTAGGGGCCAGGCCCGCATCAAAACCCTCCTGAAGGAAGGTAAGTACATTAGCTACCGAAGCAGTGACCGGATCAATATTGGTCCGGCCGCATCAGGCCGAGAAGGAAGCCCAAGTGGCCTCGTAGATCCATCGAGTCGAGGGACGGCGAGCCGCTTGCATAGTTGAAATGACCCGGGCTGGGATACAGGCCACTGTTAGGAGGCTCCACTCAGCTGCCAAGCAGTTAATTGGAGGCTCGAGGGGTCCGGATGGCAAAGGGCGCCCTGAGTAAGAACCAGGTCGGAGAGCGGAATGCGCCAATGGGCTGCCACTGACAGGATTTTCAGGTCCGCGTACCACGGCTGCTGGGGCCAGTGAGGGGCCAGAAGAATGAGTTCCGCCCTCTCGTCCAGCATCTTCCGAATGCATTTGGCGATCAGAGGAAGGGGAGGGAAGGCGTAGAGAAGGCCAGGGGGGCAAGGGCTGCACAAGGCGTTTGTGGCTTCTGCCCTGGGATCCGGGTACCTGGAGAAGTACCGGGGTACACGGTGATTGGACGAAGAGGCGAATAAGTCGACCAATGGAGTCCCAAAGCGTTCCGCAATCGCCTGAAAGAGAGGCTGTTGAATGCTCCATTCGCCTTGGTCCACCCAGTGACGGCTGAGGGTATCCGCCTGGATGTTCGAGGCCCCAGAAATGTAGTCCACTTTGATGGAGCGCAGATGTTGCTCGGCCCATAGGCACAGATGCAGGGACTCCGAGAGAAGCAGCCGCAAGTGGGTGCCACCGAATTTGTTGATGTGGGCCTTTGTGGACACATTGTCTGTGAGGACAAGGATATCCTTCCCCTCCAGAGTCTGGAACTAAAGGAGGGCCAACCTGACAGCTCGCAGCTCCAGGAAATTGATGTTG